AAATATAAGTCATAGGCCCCACAGTTTAAATCTAAAATTTTTTTTTGCATATTTTTACATATTTTAAAAATTTAAAAAAAAATTGCATATTTCGTGCATATTCTACATAAAAACGATATAGTATTATTATATTTTATATACTATATAGTAACATTGTACACTACCCGATTCCCATGTACACTATACTATATTTGACAGCTCAATGTTTCTCCTGTGACCCGACGGTGTTCGTCATGATGACTTCCTCCTATTTTTAAGCGATGCTGCGCCATACATGAAGAAAGCAGGTACAACTATCAAGGCTTTGTACTTCAAGATGATCCATATTACTTATATAGCACACGGATTACATAGATTAGCAGAAAATATTCGGGGTCATTTTCCTAGAGTTGATAAATTAATAGCAAAAGGAAAGCAAGTATTTTTAAAAGCACCTTCGCCTGTTTTATTTTTTAAGACAGAAGCTCCCGGAGTCCCTCTTCCTCCCGAACCTGTACTTACACGTTGGGGTTCTTGGATTAAAGCTACTTCTTATTACTGCCAATATTTTAAGTAAGTACGAGATGTTATGCTTCATTTAAATTCTAACGATGCTGTATCTATAAAAGAATCTCAAACCCTTCTAAATGAAATTTCAATGGAACCAAATTTGACTTTAATACATTCAAATTATAGGTTTTTACCATCAACCATAACTAAATTAGAATCACAAGGAGTATTATTAACTGATTCAGTATCAACAGTAATATTTTTTTATTTTACTAAAATATAATTTATTTTTTTGTGCATATTATCTTGCATATTTAATGAATTTGAATGCATATTTTTCAAATTTTACCTCCTATAACTTCTCTGCCCTAATTATAGTAATTCAATCAAATTTAAAATTGTTTACTAAAATTCTAATTTTTGTTTTTAATTGGTTGAATTGGAAAATTTTGTTTAGAGGAAATTCCCCGGCTCCTCACATAAAAAAAATTTAAATACACCTCTGGATATAGTCATAAAATACATTATTTATATGTAACCATGTAGGTATGTACATTATCTATGTATACGGATAATTAGGCTACGCTCGTATACCTATGCAACTGTGGGTAAAAAATCATAAAAATAAAATCAATAATACCTTAATGTTATCTTAATTAAAAATATACTATAAAAAAATTTGCGATGTTTAACAGTAATTAATGATTTGAAAACGGTCGAGCTGCAAAGGGTTTTCAAGTTTTCTCGTTTGAAAAATAGAAACTAAAATTAATCTGTAAAACCAGAGGTGTTTTTATCTTGAATATTCAATTAGGGTGTATAATAAGCATTTAGAACACTGTGAGTGACAGATTTGATAATAAATCAAAGGTAAAAAAAAGAAACTCGATCAGCATTTTCTTATAACTGCTGCGTGACAGGTCTATAGAATTCTCTGATCCCTTTTCGTTTCACTTGACAGTATATTATAGATAAATATATAATAAATAGTATAAAGCTGCATTTAATATAAGATCTGTCTATATAAATATATGTTTTATATTATGATCAAGTAGCGTAGTTTGAGCTTAATTAAGGGGGAGGTCGTTATAAATATCATATAGACATGCTACATTATTTTATTAGTTATTGGCTATAAGCTTTAACCGAGGTTAAGACTAAAATTAATTAAAATTAAGATTAAAAAATCCTGAGGAGAGCCACCTATCGAATCTCCATCAGCTACGTTATTTCTATAATCCTAGGTAGTTAAATCATGTAAATCATATATCCCCATGGCAAAACAATCAGGCTGTAATTTTGCAATTTGTAAGTATTAGTTAGTTAAATATGTTAATAATTAAATCTATTACAATAAATAATAAAATATAATTTCATTTAGAAAATCCACTTAGTTGCATTTCATTGAAGTGTATAAAATGTGAAATGCATTACTTTTTATAAGAAATACCACAGTAGCGTCATTTCAGATTTTTCTAGAGTAGGACAGTCGACATGCACTTTTTAAATTGCTGTTCCGGCGGCTCATTTTACCAAAGTGTCGATTAACAGGGGGGGGGGAGAGAGGAACGTCAAATCAGTCCAAAAACATAATGTTTTGTACGTCGTACATAAATATTCGTATAGTACACGTCTCATTTTTCTGATTCACCAGTGGCGTAGCCAAGATTTTTAAATGGGGGGGGGGCTAACCACTTTTTTTGGATAAGTAAGGTAAGAGAGGATATGAGAATTCACCCTTAAACCCCCCCCCACCATCCACCACAAAGTTTCTAAACGTAATTCAAGCATTTTAGTATAGTTTTAAAAATATTTATTAATATATAATTTATAATAATAATAATAATTTTGGTTTCAGTGTTCAGTCACTTGCTCCACTCTGACAGCTGCATTCTCTTAGGCGAATTTCTAGCAAATTCAGTTATTATTTCACTTTCATCGAATTGCTCTTTTTTATTTATATTAGCCATAGCTAACCCATTCAGTCTGTTTTCCGACATGGAGCTTCTTAAAAAAAATGTTAAGCGATTAAGTGCTGAAAACGTTCTTTCCGTAGTGAAAGAGGTAACTGGTAACGTGGTGAATAATTGTAAAAGTACTTTAATGTTAGGTCGAAGATTGGTGCGATGAGAGAGTGAATCAAGAGCAGAATTCGGTTTTGGAATAGTATTTTGACTCCATTGTTGCCTCCATATGAACAGGTCAGTTCTGATTGTAGATGAGGTATCATCATGGAGATCTTGGACATATATTTTAACAGCTTTTATAATATTTTTATCGTCATACATATTTAAATTGGCCGGAATAAGTCCTTCAAGTGGCATAACATCAATAAACCTTTGATTAAAACGAGCATCCATTGATTCTATTAAAGGGTCAAGATACATCCCCCACCCCCCCCCCCCCTTGGCTACGCCACTGTGATTCACTACATATCAATGACTTCATATAAGTCGTATTTATATTTTGATTAAGTGCCGATTTTGGATTAGCTAAACTCTAGACTGCGACAAATGCATGAGTTGTCCCGTCCTCCCAGACGACGACACTGGAACACCGTATTAAAAAATGTATGGAAAGTCGAATACAATAACATTTAGCCAAATCAAAATTATTTATATAAAGGACCGGATTTATGAATGTGGAAGCCTTGGGCTCACCCTTAGAAGTAATTTTTTTTTTCGATTACATATATTTAATAACCAAAATTCCAAATATTCAGAATTTTGGTTAGGAAAAAACAATGATTTGTTGTGATGAAACAATAAAGGTAGTATATTTATTTAAATTTATACTCGTAAGCTCGTTACTAATTTGTATGTAATTATAATATATAAATATATTATTAGTTATTAATAGGGCTGGGATTTCGATGCACTTTGCATTTTTTTCTGAAGCTTTCTGAAGGATGCTCGTTTTATTACAAATATGTTTTAGGTATTTTTAAATTAGAATAATAAATTTTATTTCACATTTTTTGACAATTTATTAATTTAAGGATATTTTTCTCAATTATTTGGATATTTTAGGGGTTTTTAAATCATTTTTGGTGTTTTTGCATTTAAAATTATAGATAATAGATTTTTTCTACCGACGGATTAGTGTTGTTGTATAAGGTATGCAATGTAAAAATTGCTGCTGAAAACGTTTTTCCATAAAACAACATATACCATGAGACAAACATATAAATGGAGTACAACGAAGAGAACAAATTGAAGAACAAGAAAAAATTGTGTGTATCTACAAAAATGTATTGGCCAATAACAGGAAGGAGGTATGCTCACGTGATTTAGTGTAACAATAAAGAATATTATTTTACTTATTAATATATGAAGTAAAATAAAATATGTATGTACATGTAACGTAATTTTTTTTAAATTTTAAGCTATTTTAAATAAATTTTAAAGGCATTTTTTGAGTTTTTTAAGTCATTTTTGAATTTTTAAGGTCATTTTTTGTGATTTTTATGGACAGTAAAATCTCAGCCCTAGATATTAATAATAACATTTATTTATAAATTTATGACAACATCAATGATTGAATATTTTTATTAAAGTTGTGATTTAAATCTATTTTGCAAATGTTATATTGTATTTTATACATGGATGCAAAAAAAACCACATTTAGTAGAGGCCCGGGGCCCCTGCCCCCTTAAATCCGGCCCTGTAAATATTTATATACATATATATGTTCTATTGATTATAAATACTGGAAGATGGCAAGTTAACAAACACAAAGTTTATATTAAACTCCCAGTGTTCATTCGTTTTTCGAAATTCACATCGAAGTTAAAATCATACGATAGGCAATCATACATGCATTACAACCAAGACACGTGTTTTTTTGCCTATACATGTGGTTTCCAGTTTTACAGTATTGAATTTGGTGACTAGTGGATTCGGCCAGTCTTGACGCTCCGTAATATACTTAGCACAACTCTTCGACGTTCTCCAACGCGACGTAATCGCGATTCGTAGGGAAATTAATTCGACCGGAGTGATCCGGAGAAAAGATCTCTAGGGCCGACGACCTGTACCGGAATACGCGTATTACCACGTGAACGATACGTGAATGTAAGTACGTTGTACACAACCGGTCGGGTTGAGTAAGCTATCGTGAACGTGTCAAACGTTTATATTATGGCTGGACGCTGCGACGGAAACGTAACCGCGAGCGCCGGAACGGATTTATCATTCGGTCACGTGCCCGAAACAATAACAACAACACGGTGACGTGCACGAGAAGCGGATGCAATTAAGCGTGTCACGTACGCGGTAACGGGGACGGTGGCGACAAAAGCCGAAGGGATCGCAAGCGCGGCGGGTGGAGATCTCTTTCACGATGCGGCGGCGGCGGCGGCGGGCGGGGAAGGAGACACGATCATGTTTCGCGATCGTCATGTGTGGGAGGCGCGCGAACGGCCGGTGGCCGGATCACGCCCAACGGCGCCCCTACCGCGGGTATTGATTTAAAATTAGCCCGTCGTAACGCTATCAGCACAACAGAGCACGATGGCGGTCGTCTGTTCTGAGATGCGCCGGTGCTGGTGCCGGTGCTGCTGCTGTTGTCGCTGGTGCCGAACGGGATCGGTTGTTCGCAGACGGTCCCGTGCGGCGTTTTATTGCGCGGGCGCGTCCGGTCGCGGCCGACCGCCGCCGCCTCTCCGTCCGTCGGCGAACGAGCGCGATGGGTATAATTTATTATTACGTACTGCCGTCGCCACCGCGCCCCACGACCGCCGTTACGGCCATTATGTGTACGGAGCAGCATCGGACGCCGCCACCGCCGCGCGCGCACAAGTAGTTAGTACGAACGACCAGCGAGTGGCGAGTACTCGTCGTCATCGCCAGTCGCCACTGCCGTCTTCGTCGTATTGCCGTCGCAAACCGAACGCAACAACTGTCCGCCCGACGTGTTCGTTCGTCCTTAATGAACGCAGATATCACGCACCATAGTCATAGATGTTAATTGTCCTGTTAAAACCGATAGGGATATTATGTTCCTACATATTTAAAGCCATGGGACAAAGGTACGTACAGGGATGCGCGTCTCAACCCCCTCAAGTCCACCACCCACCGCACTTTAACTGTTATGGCGTCGCGCTCACTCTCTCCTCCCCTCTCCGCCGGTAACCCTTTGAAAGAATTCCTCATCCTCCTACCGTTATTGTTACATAAGATATTTTATGCTTTCAGCCTGGTCATCGGTTCGGAACGATCTGCTAGAAGAAAGAAACAAAAAGATGGTCTATCCATCGACACGCCGACCGTGTCACTCACGGCGGCTTCCATGACCGATTTGGATAATATTACACAACACCAGATTATCTATAAAAAAGTAAACATACTCGCTCACATTATATTATTATATTTATCCTTTTGTAGTATAGCTGCGTTCAATGTATCCCTATAAATAATATTATGATTTCACTTAGATGGAACACCTGATGGATCGTATGCAGGACGAGAACACCGGCATCCCCGTGCGTACAGTCAACAAGTTCAGAGCCAAAGTGCCTTCCGTGTTCACTGGTAATTCTCAGAAGCTATATTATGAGTCACCTCACCTAATCTAACTTACTCAGGTCACTGTACGATTTATTATGTGTTGTTTATTATTAGGAACTGATTTGATTATGTGGATAATGAAGAACTTGGATGTTGACGACCAAGGTAAGTTCTATTATTGACTATTAAAATAAGTACAGTTATAACAAACTAATTTAATTATATTTTAGTTGAAGCATTATACCTAGCAAATCTATTGTCTTCCCATGGTTATTTATTTCCAATTGATGATCATTTTCTAAATGTCAAAAATGATGGATCATATTATCGTTTTCAAGTAAGCACTATCTAAGTAATTTTCAACCTATAGTACAAGTTATAAATTATTAATTATTTATTGTTCATAAATCATAGATTTATTATAACATTAGTAATATTTATCTGTGACTGATACTCTTAATTGTACTTATTAATTGGTATAATTTTTGATTAGTAAACTCAATGTTCTATTATGTTAATTACAAGGTACTATCATTGATCAGTTTTACTACATAGGAATCAAGAAATTTAATTGAAATACTAGATTAATTCATGATTTTAAATTTCTCCAGCGGTGGAAAGATGTTAATGACATATTCTTATAGTATATAATCTAAAAATATTCTGTCACCTTCATAATTCTACTTGTATTTAAAATCAACAAGCATTAATCATGAGGTTATTTTTATAATTTAATTCAAGTCATAACAAAATATTAAGAATTAATACTAAATTAAAATAAAACATATTTATTATATTTTAAAACACATTATATTTAAATCAATATTTTAATAGTAGATCAAGTATACAAGTTAAACAATCTGCAGAATATTGTATTTATTTTAGATGAAATCAGAATAATCAACAATATAATTTATTTTTACAGAACTTCTTTAATTTTTAAAAATCAAATAAACCTCGTATTTAATTAGTTAGTTATGATTAAACTTGTCTTTCAAATGAAAACAAATTATTGCTTGAACTTGTAAAAATTTATATTTAACCATGTAACAATTATAGAATATTGATATTTTTCTTATTTGTTTCAGACTCCTTATTATTGGCCATCTAACATATTCGATCCAGAAAATACAGATTATGGTAAGATATAAGTAATATGAATCATAATATATAAATTTAGGGATTTAAACCTTTGAACCGTGGTGACTCAAGTGTATCAAATTGTTTTTAATCATTAGTTCTGATTCCTGTAATAATTTTGATAAAATTGTTAGTATTGGTTTCGGTTCCCTACACTTTTTAAAATATAGATTTCAATTTACATTATAAAAGACCATTATAAAATACTTTTGGTTCAATCCTAGCTGTGGAGTATTAGTTTTTAGTTTCAAATAAAATAATAATGCACATTTATTTTAGCTGTTTACCTTTGCAAAAGAACAATGCAAAACAAAACACGTTTAGAACTGGCTGATTATGAGGCTGAAAACTTAGCTAAGCTCCAAAAAGTTTTGTCTAGAAAATGGGAATTTGTTTTTTTACAAGCTGAAGCCCAAAGTAAAGTAGACAAAAAACGAGATCGTATGGAAAGAAAAATATTAGATAGCCAAGAACGCGCTTTCTGGGATGTGCATAGACCAATGGTAATTTTTGAAATATTTTATGTTACATTATATTACATTCAATTTATTTGATTTTCAGCCTGGAACTGTAATAACAACAGAAATTGATTATAAGAAATTAAAGAGATACAAAGAATTAGCTACATTGGCCAATGGAGATATTAACAGTTTGCAACCATTACAAATCCCAGTGAAACCAAATATTGGTAAGCCTACTGTTGAGTCTATAAAAAAAGAAATCACAGCGATGCGACTAAAACTTGATCGACGTAATATAAAGCTATCTAAAATTGCAGACACGTTAGTATTTTATTCATTAATGTAACATTTTTATAATTTAGTGAACTTTTTGTGATAATTGATTGTTTTATTTTAAAGGTACATTACTTATTTCGAACAATATGCTGAGTATGATCCATTTTTTACACCTCCAGAATTTAGTAACCCTTGGTTATTGGATAATGTAGAAGTATGGGACTGTGATAAACATTCGTGAGTTGTATTATCGAATATTAGAAACATTTAAAATTTTCAAAATAGTTCTCTATTTTCTTACAGAAAAGAAGTCACTGTGCGTAGAATAAAACGGTGGGCATTTAGTTTAAAAGAGCTTTTAGCTGATCCCGCTGGCAAGGAGCATTTTACAAAATTTCTGGAAAAAGAATTTAGCTGTGAAAATTTAAAGTTAGTGTACATTGCATAATGTTTTAATAAATTTTATCAAAGTATACAATGTAAAATAATTTAAATGTGATATCTTATATTCCTAAAGATTTTGGGAGGCTGTGCAAAATCTAAAAAAGTTACCTCAACGTGAAGTGCCAGAAGCTGCCCAAGAAATTTGGACTGAATACTTAAGTGGTGATTCATTGAACATAGATTCTCAATCAAGGGAATTAAGCCGAAAGAACATGTCTGCTCCTGATCGATGGGCATTTGATATAGCTGCCGTATGTAATCGCACATTTTCATTATGTAAGATTAAGAATGGTGTTCAAGATGATATAAATATAAAATAGTCAAACCAAACTAGTTAGAATTTAGTTAGCGTAGACATTTTAAATCATATATTATTTGTTAAATGTTATTAATCAGGTTCATGTTTACCATTTAATGAAGAGTGATAGCTACCAGAGATATATAAGATCAGAAATGTATAAAGAATATTTAAACACTTCCAAGAAAAAGGTAATCATTTCAAACATTTTTGTTTATTTTAAATGATAAAAAAAGAAAAATTCAATTTCTATTTTATTTTGTCTAGACTTCCATGAAAGGCATTAGGTCTATAGTTTCATTTTCTGGAAAAAGAGATATTTGTCCTTCGTGATGGTATGCGTACTTAAATATACTTAAAGTACCTTTTCAGCACAGTTCAAATATTTTATTATTTTTAGTTTTATTTATGAACAATTGAATTTGGTTTCTATCATTTTATTGAGTGATTGGATTATTATTTTTTATACGTGTATTATTGTTAGGAATTATTTCAATTATTATTATAAAAATTAATTGTTGTGAAAATGTTAACTATTATGTTTGAGGTAACTTATGTTCCTATGAAATACTGGTGACATTTTTGATAAATATATTTTTGTTATTTAAGTTGCATAAATATATATGTATAGCGTATACACATATATGTAATATAATAAGTATAAAAAATATATTATTTAATTAAAGTATATTAATATTTGTTTAATTTTTTTAATATAAGTAGATACTTATAATATTGTTATTGTATAGTTAAGAGTAATTTATTATTAATGTGTTGAAATTGTTTAAAATTTTGATTTACTTGTATCTTGGTTATTAAGAAGTCCATTAAATGTTAAAAGTGTTTTTATTATAATTTTTTTTTAATTTGTTAAAAAAATAATGTCCACAATATTTTCTGTGACTATAAACTCAAAGTTTATTCAATTTTTTATAATTAGAATAACCAACTCAGTCAATTTTAATTTTATATCATCTTAAAAATCATAAAATACCATGATTAAATGGATATGAAATTTTAAAGATTGTTAAAATTTAACTAAGCATTTGGGAAATTGTTGTAAAACTGATATTTAGAATATTAAAAAGAAAACATTTTAATGTTTACAGTTTTATGTTTTAGTTTAAATAAGGTAAAATTTCATAAGATTTAATAAAGTATATTATAATAGTTTATAACTATCAAAAAACAGAGAAATATAAAGTTTGCAATTTGTTTATTATTATTATTTATTATAAAAATATATGGTTTATCCATTCCACACAGAATACCTTTGAAAGAATTATTTCACTAGTCTAGTTCAGATGGAAAATTGGTAAAACAAGCAAATTGATTAGCAAGATTGTTTTTATGTTTTGGTTCAAATGAACATTTGTGAACATCTAATAACTTTTTGGCTAATTCTTCCATGATACCACCTGAAAATTGAATTGGAAACCAATTATTTTCAAACCATAAATAGAGGGCAGCAGTTAAATAGTGCATCAATAGGTTTGTTATATGTATTTAAGACTTGAGTGATAACTGACCTGTACATAATATAATATGTTTTCGTGTTAGAGATTTTGTAGTCTGTAAAGATTTAGTTAAACATTCTTCTGAAAGAAATGGAGGGTCAACAATGACTAAATCAAAACTGTTTAAAAGTTCTTGGTCAAATCGCATTGGTTCGTTGTAATCATAGAAAACATAATTTGATCCATAAACATCAAACCTTTTGTCATACTCGAAAAGTTTAACTAAAATTCAGCGAATATTAATCAAAACATAATACATTTTTTCCATTACTTTTCAGTACATACTTGATATGGTAGGTGATTTTTCCTTAAAGGTTTTATACAATGTAGGACAGGATATCAATGCTACTGTGCCATTTGGTCCAACTGCTTTAAGAACACACTCAACAATTCGTTCACATGTTTTTTCATCATACCAAAATTGACTTAATTGCTGCAATGCAGTCAATTATTTAACTATAATTTATTACAAGTGTATACATATCCAAGTTTATGTGAAACATGGTAATTAAAAAAATTTAATATGAATTCAATACTTACCCAATCTTCATCAAATTGTATATTATTTGTATCATCATTATGTAATAACAGTTTTTCGTTCTGTTCTTCATAAAATTCTTTTAAAGCTCTCTGTGCTTCAGCTGAAAGCTGTAAGTCATCGCAGTCTTCTTCGGAAATTGACATTTTCAAGGGGAAGTAATTTTATTAACTTTTAACCTTACTACCTATTCGACTTTTTAAAAATAATAATATCGAAGAAATAACAAGTAGGTATTGTATTTACTTTACGAGTTAAGTTAAGGTCTGATAATTGATAACTGGTGCATGTGCTTATATCGTTTTGATAACATTTGAAAATCTACTGATAACATTTTTAAAATATATTTTTTATCAACAACCAGATTGAATATTTACATTCTTGAAGTGAAGTTAAATAGGTATGCTCGTTTAATTTTAAAATGTTTAAAGAATATTTCAAATATTACAAGCGTATTAATTCACTAGAACATCAATCTAATGTAATAGATTTTGAAAATGTAGATGTGAACGAAATTATTGTAAGTTATTCATATAATATAATGCCCTTATTAAAATGTATTAAGTTTTATTTATACTTTTTATAATAAAGAAATATAAGGAATTAAAAACAGCGTCTTGTAACAATGAAAAAGAAAAACTTGATGGTCTTGGTTTAAAAAATGATTTATCAGATTGGAGATGTTATGAAATATCAAACATACCAGGTAAAATAATTAAAATAAAATTACTACTAGAATTTTTTAAATTATTCAAAATATATATTTTTGTTCTGTGATATACTTAGGTCTAATATTTATTAGTAATCCTTTCACACCATGTGGTCAAAAATATTGGATGAAACGATGCATTGTGGATTATACAAAAAAACCAAATAGATTAAATATTGATGCTCATCATTATATTGATGTTGAAGAAAATTGGTGGACTACAGTAAACAAGTTAAATTTATTATGACATAATAAAATAAATAACTCTATATAAAGCAATAATAAAAAAGAAACTCTACTTCTTAATAAATAATTTTTAAAAAAAACATCATATATTAATAATTAATTTTAATTATTATTATTTTTTTTTAAATTAACTTGATATCTTATTTTTAGTACGGGTAATATCAAACTTAGAGATCAATTACGATGGGCTACACTGGGATACCATCATGATTGGGATACAAAGGTTTGTTTCATATTAAATTTTTTTTTATTAATTTGTAATCGATAGGTCAATAAAAAAATAATAAGGAAAATTATTTTTCTTTCTTTACATTAATAATGTTATGAACATTGACATACTTAGTATAAATGCTATGGGTACTCTGCATTCCTTCATTCTTACAAGCACTCCTAAATCATTTTATTTTTTATACGTATTCTCTAGTAGCCTCATTATTTGAGTTATGCTAATGAATATAAGTTTTTTTTTATTATTTATGTGGAATATATTTTATGTGCATTTATAGTACTAAGGTGATTAAAAATATTTTAGTTGTTGATCAATATTACTAATTGCTTAAATAAATACAAAATAATTTAATTTTTTTAAAAAATTTCAATTAGGTCTATTCTGAATCAGCAAAATCTGAATTTCCATCTGATTTATATCAGCTTAGTAAAACTATTATTGAATTGTTAAAATTTCCTGAAGAATTTATTGCGGAAGCAGCTATCGTAAATTTCTATCATCCATCATCAACACTATCTGGACACATAGATCATTCAGAGTATAACTTAAGTGCTCCACTTTTATCAATCAGGTAAAAAAAATATATTCAATTAATGTCAAAATTGTACACTATATTAAACCTGTACATTTTAATGCAATTTTAATAACAACTATTGTTGTATGTTACAGTTTTGGTTTAAGTGCCATATTCCTGATTGGAGGTCATTCATTGAATGACAAACCAACTGCTATACTTTTAAGGTCAGGAGATACTATTATTATGAGCAGAGAAAGCCGATTAAGTTACCATGGAGTACCAAAAATTTTATTATCTGAAAATGATCGAAAAATCAAATATGAAAATGAATGGGAGTTTAATCTTAAGAACTATATGAAAGTTACGAGAATCAATATAAATGTTAGGCAAGTTAATAATGCTATCAGAAGTTAATAAATTAACTCATTTCAGTATTCATTTTTTAAAAGTTATTTAACTAAAAAAAAATTGTCATTACCCTAAACTGTATATATATATATATATATATATGAAATTATATAAATAAATACAATGTTTAACCTTAATTGTGAAGTTATACAGGTATATTGTATATTGTTATCAAATATAAACATACAATTTTGAGGAAAATGGAATGGTAGAAAGTAGGAAGAAAAATAATAGAAAAGATGAATAAGAAACAATGATATAAAATGAGAAGGAGGTAAGAAGAATGATAAGATTAAAGATGGTGTATGGAGTAACAAATAGTGAGGAAGACGAATATAAAATTAGATTTTAATAAGATTACCTTCCTCTTTGTTTAAGGGAGGGCTTTCAAGGTCATACAGGTTCAAGAGCCAATGAGTGCAACTGGATAATTTTGAAAACTAAATGAAATAGTATTTAGTTGTTCCATAATTGATGTATGGAGTTGATGAGCCTGATACTTATGATTGCTATAAGTGTAGTGAGGTTGAAATGCAAGAAAAAGAGTGTGAGAAGAATTGTCAATACAGCATCTCAAATTTTTCGTCAAGAGATGTTCCCTTTATTTCAAAAAGGCTATGACCACGTTACTGTTATTCCTACATATGCTTCTACCAAGACAACTTTAATTGGATTAAAAAAAAAACACTTGATAATACATTATATCCAAAATCGAAAGAAGAAATTATTGTAGCTGATGATATTTTACAATTTGGTAACAATTACCAATTTTTATTATTTAACCATAATGTTGAAGAAAGAATTATTGCTTTTTCGAGTAGTACTCAAAGAGAAGCCGCATCTACATATAGACATTTCTTTGTTGTAGCAAACAATTCCTACATATATATTCATGTAGATTAATATAATTATATATATATAGAATTATAGAATACATGTAGATATTGAATGCACATCGAGTGCAACTAATGTGATTCCAGTAATTTTTGTATTACTTTCAAACAAAACAAAAAAAAATTATACTCGATTATTTAAACTTTTAAAAGAGCATATTCTAAATTTCAACCCCGATATAATAACAATTGATTTTGAAGAAGCAACTATTCAAGCAAAAAAAACATGTTAACCTCCTTTACTAGATAGATAGTTCCAAGAAGAGTGGTGGAGATCGTGTCAAAATCAAAAAATCATTTTTGAAATATTTTTGAACTATATGAAAAAGACGTTTCATAACCATACGGACTAAAAGAATACAGTTATTGACGACACTGATAAGTGGAATAAAAAAAGATTAGTTAAAATAAATTATATTTTACATTTATGACGTAGATCACGTATTAGACCGTAAATCAGTGTGTAGGTCGCATATTGGACCGTTACCAATTATTTTTACACTAGATCCTCTGAATTTCCCTGATAAATATTTATAGTCCTGTTGCGGGGTTCGTTAAAATCTCGTAAAATATCTAATCATCAAATGAACAACATAATGAAATTTATTACTTAAAATATATAATATAGTTATTAAATATATACATCTGATTGTTGGATTACAGTGTTGTACACGAACGTACTTAATATTGGGATTTATAGGTTATATTTATTATATAGGTTATATAGATTTTATATATTGGTCTCCCCGAAAAAACGCCGTTTACGGACAATTGACCCCCGTCATAATTGTATACACGGAATTGGTCAATTGATTATAAACTCAAACAGAAAGAAGTTTTCATAAAGATTGAAACCATGAGAAGCATTTAAAAACGAAAAACAATATGTACAACATTTTACGTATCGTAATAATAAAAAATAGTAAACAGTAGTTCTTTAAAAAAAGTGGCACGGTGAAATTATTTTTAATAGGTCTATGAAATTACATGATTAAAATTTAGTACTATTTATTTTACAGGTAATTAAACGTTTTTTTAATATTTATTGTTTTAAAATGTACTAAAATAAACTTTTTTTATCATAAAATCCCAAAATAAACATTAATTATAATCATAAAACCATAGATTATGCAACCTTAAAGTATTTAATTGTGTTTTTATGAAAGAGGTGTGTGGGTAAAAATTATATGCTGTGTATCATTCTTCATAAATGTTCACCACGCCATTGAGAAGAATTTACTTTAAAATTATTTTCAAGTGAAACATAAAATGATATTAATTAATCGTATTACATGTGACATGAGTTTACTGATAACCGCCATCGTCAATTGGTTTGATGACGTAACTGTTAAAATGATTAGACTTGAGTTTCGCACTCTCGTCATCCAAATAATCTGTAAACAAAAAAAAAAAACACGAGGTAATCAATCTATATGCGTATTATATTATGGTAACTATTATATTTCTATACATAAATTCTTTTTCATATTATACCCTATTACAGTGGTTCCCAACCGGTGTGCCGCGAGCGCCCTTTAAATGTGCCGTGATAAATCAATAAATTGTTTTATAAGTATGTATTTACCAGTTTATTACTGATATTCGAGATGAAAACTAATCGAACTAATTGTAGATACATATAATATTATTTATTGTGAGTATGCCCGTCGCAGCCGTCTCGATCGATCGATTGTATTAATATATTTCTCAATAAATAACCCTCTAATAGAGTAGACTGTAAACAGTATATATATAAATATGGTTGACATAATATATGGATTAGTGTGCCGCGAAAACTTTGTTGTAAATTAATTGTACCGCATTGTTAAAAAGGTTGAAAACCACTGCCCTATTACATTGATTAAACCTACAAATATATCAACTGTACATGATTTTTTTTAATATTGTATGTAAATAAAAATTTCCGTTTACAAAAATTTGCGATGAAACAAGAAAAAATAGTTCGCATATGCAATATTCTACATAAAAACGTTAAAAATTTAATTTTTGGGCTTTGTAACCGCTTACGATTTCTTTTGTAGTACATTAAAAAAAAAAAAATTGCTTATAGAAACAGACATTTTTTATAAAATCATTATACTATAATATGTAGACATTAATACTATATGATTTATATTACTCATTATTATCATATATTGTAGGTATTAGAAGGGTTCTTTGTAGCTTTGTTAATGCGTGAGGAGATGACACCAGTCTATAATATAATATGAAATCTTTTCATAGGTAGAGGGGAGCACTAAATATATACAAATAGCTTTCTATTTATTTTTGGTGAATATACGTAGGTATACTTTAAATAAAAATTTACCTAAATAAACTTTCAGAGCTTTCGAATAAAACATCATAATATACTATATACAAATATTACCAATTTCAACCAATTAAAATACACTCAATTCTATTGAATAAATATATTCATTTTACAGACTATACAAGAAAAGACCTTTATGTAGGTTCCAAACTAGGTGAGAGAATATCCAATATTTTTATAATCATTTGACCTTATAACATTTCCACCCAGAGACGGACTGGGTTAATATTTCAGGCTGGGAATTTTTTTGCCTGGCCAAAAATTAACAGGAGACCAACGATTTAGTCATAAGTTAATATACCAATATATCACTTAATAAACTCGAAAATCCAATATTAAAAGGGTTTTTAAGAGAAGTATACCAATAAATCAATTTTTTGATAGATCGTCAATAAGAAAAAATTATGTAAGTAAATGTTACAATAATACCATGAATAAAATAAATTTGGGTTTCTTTGGACGAAACAACCGACGCAGAAGGACGTTTTGTTGCCAACTTCATCGTAGATACTTTAAAAATCGGTTGTCCTGGAAAAACATTTCTTTTACACTGTGAGGTATTAGAAAAAGCAAACCATTCTACTGTTGCTAAAATGTTCAATAATTCTCTATCTTTATTGTGGTCAGGAGCAGTGGCGTAGCCAGGATTTTTAAATGGGGGGGGGCTAACCACTTTTTTAGGATAAGTAAGGTAAAAGAGGATATGAGAATTCACCCTTGACCCCCCCCCACCATCTATTACCAAGTTTCTAAACGTAATTCAAGCATTTTAGTATAGTTTTAAAAATATTTATTAATATAAAAGTTATGTATGTATACGTCACTGAAGAAGACCATTAATGGCCGGCAATATAATATTTAAAAATATTTTTGTAAAATAAAATATATTAAATATTTATGTGTAAATTACAAACTATGTTTTTATTATATATTGTTAATCAATTACAATTAATAATGCACTTTGATATAAAATGGTTGAAATTAAAAATTTAATAATACTAAATTTCCTCTAAATGTCTAAGTCGGGACATATGGACATCCCGAAAACCTTTTTCGGGACACCGGGACGCGAAATCCAAAACCGGTGATAATCCCGGTTTTCCGGGACGTATGGTAATCCTAATTAAGGGCTAATTCTCAAATTTTTTTCCGATTACTTACCTTAGAAAAACGTATTTTTTTTCTGATTCTAATATTGATTAATTGTATATTTTTTTTATTCAAGTTAAAATGAACATTTTACCTAAATAAACGTCAATACTTTTTATTCAAAATTAAAGTTTTATATATATTTTTACAGTTTATGTTTAAGTTAAACTACACTTCTGTATACTTTATTAATATTAAAAACGTCCTAAAACGAAAATAAACATATTTTCTAGTGATAATAAATATGTTGGCATTTTATCAAAATTAATATATGATAACAGCGTATTTGGCGATATTGGACGAATTTATCAGAGCACACGGCGATTTTGAGTGATTTTAATGCTCTCTGTTGGCGATTGTACTTATAAACTTTTGTTTATCCTTATACTTTTGTCAATCCTGTTCATAATACACGAAGTGCTCGAGTTGGGAAAAATTAAGTAGAGGAACACAGTCCAACGATTTGAAAACTGCGTTCAACGTACGTAATTATTTAACTCAGTCTTACATATATTTTGAATACCACTTTTTAGCTATACAAATATTTAAATTCCAAATATATTATATTTTTATGGCTATACCAACGTCCTACATATTACAATAAAAAATAAAAATCAAATAATAATTAACATAATTGTAGGTGATCAGGCAGTCTCATGAATGGAATGATATAATCATATATTTGGTTTTTGTTTTTATCTATTTTTACTCTTTAGTGCGGGCCTCGGCCTTTTAGAAGATTAGTCTAAAGTACCCTGTACACGGTCAAATTTGTTTATCAATTTTGTTTGTCAAACTTCATTTTTTCATTAAACAAAAGTGCATACGATCAAACCAATAGATCAAATAAATATGTTAAACTTGGCCATAGTTTCGGTTTTCTCCTTGCCGTGAAGTGACGTTTGTGTGTGGTTATCATCTTCGTGTCGTTATAATAATAGTTATAATAATGAGTGATACAGATAAGGCGTTTTTGGCATTGACGCTATGCTAGCACTATGTATGAAGAATAATAAAAATGGTCGTCGATGGTCTAGAGAGTGGTTGAAATTACGGGATAAATATACACACGAAAATTTATTACGGGAAATACTGAATGCTGAATGTTGAAATGCTCACAGAACCGAATAACTACGTAAACTTCCTGCGAATGGACCATAATACATTTTAATATTTATTAACAATATTAATCCTTCGCATAACAAAACAAGATACCGTTATGCGTAAATCTATACCAGCTTTTCAAAGATTGTCCATAACCTTGAGGTACCTGGCTAGTGGCTCATGGTGCGGGCATTTATTGTTTTCCGAAATGACGATATTGTCGATCGTCATTATTAATAACAAACCGTACATTGTATACCAAATTCACAGACATTGTTATTTATATTTTTCCAGAAATTACGACGTTGTCCCATATCATAACCACCAAATAATCTTTAATTATAAAAATAGTTTCGATATTATAAATCGTAAAATTCGTTTTCAAATTGACGTAAATTGAAATTCATATAAAAATTATTTTGGACATTAATTAGGATGAACGTGGCGTCCTCCCGTTCCGGTTAAAAAATATAGTCGGGGTACGCAGAAAAAAAAATAGTAGAGGAGCTCCGTCCCCCTACGCACCCCCACCCCAATTCGAGCACTAAATACACGTACAGTCGTTAAGTTATGCTGTTACGTTATTTTGTCCTCAGTAAGCTTCAACCAGTATTAAGAGATTGCGTATAGAACACTATATTACAGCCACAAATATTTGGTTTGTTTACAGTATTTTAAGGTCTATTCACACATATTGGGTCCGGGCCGTGTTGTCCGTACCTATTTGTCTTATGGTTTGTAATATGAACATTCGCACGGTTCCATTCCGGGCTTTCCGTGCGCCTTCCTAGCCGACAAATTATTATCGATAACAATATTTCTCGTCCGGGCCCGGATACTAAAATGGTAAAAACGGATATATTTAGATTGGATTTTGAAAATCGCTGATATTTCCCAATCGTCATATTATCATATTTTTGAATTATAACTCGGAATGGATCGGATCGGAATCGGAGGTGTGTGAATACGTTCACTCGAATAGCACGGACACGGTTCGGCCCGTTAGGCCGAATATGTGTGAATAAATATGACACCCCCCCTTGAGCCGTATCATACATTACATTATTATAGGAATATAGGTAAATCGATAATACAATATGAAATATAAAATAATGCACAATACTAATTACATATATATAGGTTAAAATTATCGCGATTGCGACAATACGTGACGAAAATTATTCGTTTACGTTTTCGTGCAACACAAAACGTTTAATAATAATAGGTATTGTAGCATCGAATAGTCAAATATTTGAATAATTTATGGTAAAGCTATCCGAATTCGAATATACATTACATCTCTGTTACAGACATTATGTATACATATTAATTAATTAAAATAAAAGTTTTAGTTTGTACGTATTATATATAATATTTAATAATTATAATTAACACCCCCCTTCAGAAAATCCTAGCTACGCCACTGCTTTACACGTCCCAACCGTAATATACTTTGAAAAATTCATATATTCTTATAGTCCTTCGCCCCTCAGTTTTTTTTCCACCACAAAAGGCAGACTGAAAAGTATTTCCTCCCATATTATTACGATTCGCGATAACGGTCGTCGAAACGCGTCCGCCAGATAAGACGGTGGCAAACATAAACAGGTTTCGTCACGCTGTTCAAGAAAATCACGTATTGTTAGGGCGAACACATTTATACTAAATTTTTTATGAATACCTAGCTACCAACTACAACCGAAAACAAAAATCTAAAATCTAATCGTAAAATGTAACGGTTTCCATCGCCATTTTTTTTTTCGAATCGTTAAATCACGTATACAGTTTACGGCTCTCGCTCGACCACTTCGAAATTTTCATCTACTTCTTTGCGGTCCAGTGCAAGTCCACTTCTCGTCTCGCGCAAAACATTCGTCAGTTGTACGTGCGGAGCAGCAGCACCCGGCTAGTCGTTGTGTAGTCTTCCATCATTTTTAACTCTTTTTACCCTCTACCCTTTGACTCTTTAATTTTTTACTCTTACGTTGCATCCCTCCAATACCCCGTGATGCCCGCTGGCGACAGAAAACGAGTATATAAATTAGGACCTTACGACCGTCCACGTGAGTATTTAATTACATAAATTATTACTGTCGTTTAAGGACATCGGAGCCAATGTGATTTAAGGACTAAAAAAAAAAAAAAACTGCCTCACGGGAAAAATGTTCATGCCTTGTAAAATTGTTGGATTTTGGTCAATTTTTTTTTTATTTCGCCTAAGTTGAAAAACTTTTTACAGATAGCATTAGATTTCAATATTTGAGATTTAAATTATAAAAACTGTAAATAAATGTCTATATAGTTCGAAATTTTAGTATTTTTAAAAAATACGTTTTTTAACATGATGAACAATTTTATTAAAAATCGGAGTCCAATGTGACCTGTTAACACTTTTTCCTTTTTCAATAAAAGAAATATTAAAATCCTAACAGTCTATAAGGCATCATCGTTTTTTTTTTTTGTTTGTAAAGTCGTGTTAATAGGCGCAACTAGAGCCCAAATATTGGGGGTGCTGAAATTACGTAGCCCACACTAACCCCAAGTATCATATCTCAATTTAATCATTAAATGTACCATAACAACACACATACACTAATATTTTAATTAATAAATATTAACAAACATAAATTGTAACATACCTATTTATTTCATTATATTATATTTTATGCAGGTCATACAATACTAAGAAATACACAAATTAAAAAAAATATTATACAATATATCTACATTTATCTACACTAGTATTATCTTGCGATGACTAGTGGAATATTTTTCAAGTATTTCTGACGATGTAATTAACTAATAGTCATGAACAATTCATCTTTCTGATAAAAACATTAAATAAAACTACATGAAATAAGAAAAACTATTTTTCACACAATTTTTCAATTACTAATTTTTTAACTGGGGTTGCTACATTTGAGCCTGGGAGTGCTATAGCACCCCCAAGCACCCCCCTAGTTGCGCCTATGGTCGTGTTCATCAATTTTGAGATATTTTTCTTTACGGCTGCTATGACGCCGACACTTACTGACATGTGCATTATAATTCTTCTGGCGAAGTTTGCAACTTAGTATAACCCAGTTAATTGACATATCCATAATCTTCAGTAGGGTCAGTAAATTTATAACTTCGATTTCCAAAACAAATATACTTCCAATTATTACTAACTTCGTTTAAAATGTAAAATAAAATAATATAACTACAACTTATAAAAGCCATTTTGGCTTATTGAAAGTAACAATTTAGTTCATAGTAAAAAAACAAAAACAAAAATTTAAATAATTTTTTATTTCCATACAATTAGATGACCTAAAGTTTAGTTTAAACCCTTTTTTTTTTTTTTATTTATAGTTCTTTGTTCTATGTAATTTTCTCATAAATTTTTTTATAAATTTTCCCAGGCTCAATTTTGTTGCTTGTCTTAGGGAGTTTTCAAATATATTCTGGATCAAAGTTAGATAAAGCTGCCATGCATCTTGCATTGTACTTAGTATCATTTAAATGTTTTGGTAAATCTCAATTATTATTAAATTGGATATGAAAATTAAATTTTCAATAGTTTATTTCACCTCTCAATGAATAATTTATCCTTTTCCCACTCATGAATTTAGCCACTATATTATTATATGATTCTTCATATTTATTAGTACATTAATATAGTAATTCTATTTATCTGTATATAAAGTAATAATATTGAAAATGTTGACGCAAAAAATCTTATCAGCATATTTACATGAATGGCTCCCACGTTTGTAGATAATAATATTATTACTTACTTAACCAATATTTGAAATGTATAGGGAGAGTAAGAACTCGCAGGGGGGGGGGCAGCCGCCTACCTTACTCCTCTCGTAGTACCGCCTAAGGCTGTGTTAATGTAATCATTTTCATTTATATAAATACATGGAATTTATGTAATACGGGGGAGGGGCATAAGATCTACTTACCATAAGTTTATTAAATTTTAAAACACCCTCGTTAAATGAATCCTGGATACGCCACTGCAATAAAATATACGTAAAGTAATTATTTTATTATGAATAATTTTAAATAACACTTCTCTTTGAAATATCTAGCTACGCGCCTGATATATATATATATATATATATATTATAAAAATAAAGTGTTTTTATAGATGGATTTTAAAATTATGGATAGTAATAAAGGGGGAAGTGTGTTTTTTTTATTTATATTTTAATTTTTTGAAAAAACGTCGGCAATAAATTTTAGCCACAAATATTTTTAAGGTTGCCGCACACTGGATCGGATCGGATCGGAGCGCGACCAAATTGTTTGTCGACAATATTTTGACGGATTTCGAATAGGGATGGCAATTTTTTTGTGACATCGATGTATCGATTTATTTATTACGAAAAATTGATGGTGTCAATATCGATAAATTATAAAAACATCGAAGTCAAGAACTCGATGTATTTAGAAAGACATCGATGTTTTTAAAAAAAAACAAACACATTTTATAGGACTAAAAATATTATTCTTTGCCATAGCCCACAAGCTAAATTAATTATAAACATTCATAATTTAAACATACACAATTAACTTAATTTATTTACTTATTTATTAAAAAGATTAAAAAAAAACATTGTGTTAAAAATTTAATTGAAATTAAATGAATACAGTTCACAGTTAAATATAATCACAAAAAATCGTAAGTTATAACAAAATTTTTTATATATTATTTTAAATTGAAACCAATGCTGTCATTCATATCGAAGCCAAAATAGATCGGCTAAGTTGTTTAAAAAAATCAATTTTGATGCCGATTATCCACATAACCGTTTTATTTATTTATTTTTGGGAAACATTTTAGTTTATTTCTATAATTAGGTATTAAATACAAGGCTATTATATTATTTTTCTAGTGATAAGACTATATTATTATGAATTAATAATCAATCTTGAATATAATATTAAATTATAATTATATGTATATCTATATTTTATTGTTTGCAATTGAAAAATTTTAAAAATCTTTTGTGTAATATTCTTTAACATCGAAGATAAAGCAAACATAAAAATTAAAACATTGGTAAACGTCGATGCAAAATATCGAAACTTAACCATCGATGTTGAACATAGATTATTTTAGCTTAAAACATCAATGTTTTTTTGACATTAATAGTGTATAGAAATCTTCTTTTCCCCTTGCCATATGTATGCTATGATGAACCCACTGTCTTTTTATCGTTTATTTTTCTTTTTCTTCAGCTTCTGACTAAAGTGCTAATGTGAATATCATCTCTTCTTCGTCACTACTTGTATCATTCATTATATTATTTTATATATTATTTTTTACAAACACTCAAAAATATTAAAAATAAATGATGTAACAATAAGCTATAGTTGAGCTTGAGCGATGAGATCAAAATGGCCAAGTATATATGGCCACGGAATTCCGACTAGTTCCGACACAGTGTGCGGCAACCTTTATATGTATATTTTTTTAGATTTTATATTTTAAATTTTTCACAACCTACATAGTAAGTACCTCAATAAATTGTTTTTGAATAAATATGTAGTATAAATAATAAATTATATATAATTATAAAATGTGTAGGTTTTGGTTACAAGAATTTAAAAAAGTGTGCGGTTTTTGGAGTCGTCGGAATTTTTAATCCAAATATTTATACGTAAAAGATTAGTGTGAAGATTACCAATATCGGGAGTTATACCAATGATTAAAAATAAAATAAATAATAATACAATATTGACAGATGACTTCTTTATTTAGTACTCAATGGGATATGAGTAAAATTTGCAATTTTTTCGAATAATTCAATTAATTTACTTTTGATAAATATGTCTGGTACCATTATTTGGATTATTGATATCATTCGATTATTTGGATAATCGTAAAATAATAATGGAATGATTTGATTATTTCAAATAATGGAATCATTCGATTATTCCATTCGATTATTTCCATCGCTAATTAAAATATTGTTATTATTGATATTAATGTATTTTATGCTGGTGTTTTTTTTTTTTTTTTGCAGTATCGGTTTCAAAAAAAAACCTATCCGATATTTCCGATACTACCAATATCGGCAGATACCAAGTATTGGTTTTAGGATAGTCCACCCCTAAAACATAAATGTTTCGTAATACCGGGGTTTCCGTCTTACCGAAGTTTCGTCTTATCGAGGCTTTACTGTATACTCAAACTGTCGAAAAATATGAGGGTATACTTGGAAGGGGAAAAGTTTGCTGGTAGATTTGCAAATTAGAACTTATTATCTCTCACATTGTCAGGTAGCCCACCAAGGCGACTCAAATGAAAATGGTTAGCCTAACTTTAAATATAAAAAAAAAAAAATTACTCATATAATTAAATCGTACAAGATTTAACCCAAGTCGAAAGTGTCATCGGTGAGTGGTTTCTTTTCTCAAATTATGTAATTCATGTTATTTGTTCCCTCTTATCGCACATATACTTTTTATGTCTAGATACAGATTGTATATTTAAAAAAAAAAAAAAGATTTGCAGATCTTTTACTTGAAATTGGCATTGGTGATTATTCACTATTTGATGAAATAATAACTATCCTAAAAATGTGTGCACAGTTGTAACTACGGTTCAGAATTTAATATCAAAAATGTATCCAAATATTGCTCATATTCATGATAAACCATGAAATGGTTGTGTGAACGTGATATACTCACTCTAAAAAATGACCAAGCAGCGACTATCAATAATGATACACTGCTGATATCTTTTGGAGGGGAAGAAAAAGTATATTTTTCGATACATACGGTGGCCAACATAGAAGATGTAACTAATTATGCGGTTGAATTTTTAAATTCATATTGCCATATCTAGGCTTATTCTACGTGTGGACACACCTATTATGTGGTTGCGAAATTTGAAACCACCTAAACTGTGCAATGGGACCAGCCTTATAGTCAAAGTTGTACATCGCAATATTGTGGAAGTCACAATTTTAACTGGATGTGCGAAAGAGGAAACTGTGTTTGTACCACGAATCCCTTTAATTCCGAACAATCTTCCGTTCGAATTTAAACCATTATAGTTTCCCCTCAAAGTCTGCTTTGCAATGATTATAAACAAGTCTCAAGGCCAGACTCTCAAATTTGTAGGAATAGACTTGAGAGAAAACTGTTTTTCATATGGGCAGTTTTACGTAGCTTGCTCACGCGTAAGTTCACCTTGTAGCTTGGTGATTTTGTCACCTACTAATAGATCAGCGAATAATATTGTCTACAAAGAAGTGTTTTAGATAAAATTTAAAAAACTATTAGTAAAACATTTATTTTAAACCTTTACTGCTAAAACTTATCGTTAACAAAGCTGCTTCCAAAAGCTATAACTTATATAATAGGTTGTGATAATAATTATTATCTTAAAAACTAAATTAATATGTATAAAATATTATTTCAACAATTTTAATTAATTTAAATTTCCATAAATTAAACAACATTTATTCTTGTTAGGTTACATACATTTTTATACTTAAACCCGGCAACGACGGGTATTTCAGCTAGTAGTATTATAATCACTTACCCCGTTACTAACCGTAACTTCACTAATATTTAGTACAGCTTATATTCTTTTAATAATAAAACTTAAATTGATTGTATTGTGAAAAGTAAAACAATTTCTGACCCTGTAGTTACACGATTTAAATAAAGATGTCACCATCTACTTAATCTATTTATAATTTATTTTTTTGGTTATTTTAGTATCCCGAATTCTGTTTTATAATAAAGCGTTTATATCCCAATATTTTACAATATTACATTTCAAGAAATATGTTTCGCAAGTAAAAAAAAAAAATCCAACACTAGTTCGTATCATTTTAATAAAAAATATAGTTCATATCCAAATTTTGAATTAAATTAAAAAAATTATATAAAATGTAATTAATGGTAATCATCAGGGCTCGGGACTTATAGTATTTGCTTATTTTTAAGGTTTGACATAAAATGTAGCAAAGTGTTATGAAAGTGTATTTCATGTTATATGAAAGTGTTATTGTGTTATAAGTGTTAAAATAATAAAAAATGCTTATTTCCTATTTTTCTGATTATTTTATTTATTTTTTTTTTCATATCTTTGTTTAATTATAAACGATAAAGTATGGCATTGACCTAACCCAGATTTTTTTTCAACTATTTTTAAATATCGTTAACATTTAATTATTCAGAAAATTCCTCAGAAAATCCATAACAAATAAGACAAAATATCATGAAAGTCAAAGTTAGACTTTTTTTAAAATATAAAGTTATATATTTTATATATTTATAATATGTACCATATTTTTTTAATTTTTAATTATTTATTCAGCACAATTAAAAAAAATGTCTACAACCCTATCATGTTCATGTTAAAAGAATATTTAGAAATTTTTCTAATTTTTTCTTATTTTGAGTAATGTTTTTTATTGAATATTTTTGTTTGAATTTAATTTTTTTTAATGCTTATATGAGTGCTTATAATGATGTTTTAAGTGCTCTTTTTAAGCACTTAATTTAAATGATTTTAAGTGCTTTAAGCCCCGATCCCTGGTAATCATATTATTAGATATTTACCAGAATATTTACCATTTTTGAGTAAGCCTTAAATAAACTAAAAATAATTTGTTATGTAATATTGGAAATATTATTTATAAATAGGTAAAGCAAGTCTAGTGCTCTCATTATATTGATTCATTGTAAAATTTCTTTTTATTATTTTATTTAATTATTTTAGATATTGAACATAATCTCCATATTGGTCATAGTACAAACACCATCAAAACGAAAAACAATAGGAGTAACTACCATAATAAAAGTTTGGATTGTATAACTAGTCTAGTTGGTAAGCAGTCAAGAAGGAAATGTAACTATAATGAACACTCAAAATATAATTCTTCTCAAAGGTATATTTTCATTAGATATTTATTTTTTAAGTACTTTATTGATAATTGATTTAACTCAATTAATTATGATTATTAAATAAATCTTACATTGAAAGGTTTCAAGTTAAGAATGGTGATGATAAATACAGAAATCCAACATGGAATATAAATAAAAGTTGCACAGGATGGTATACAATAATTGTAAGTATTCAATTTTAAGAGGATATTCTACTCGTATTATTTTCCCTACTACAAACATAATAAAAAATTTAATAGATATATTTAAAATTATCAAGGCCAATATAACTAATCGTTAATTTATTAGGTAGTTATTTTACTAATAAGTAACTAAAATTGTTGATTTATATTATGTTTTTTGAATCTGAACATATTTGATAATGTATAAAAAACAAATTTATTATGTTTGTTATATTCTAAATGTTTTTAAATGTTGCAATTATTGTATTATGTATATATTCAATAGAAAAAAAAAAATAAAAATTATATTTACTTGTAAAATTATTTTAAAAGTGCCCATTTTTAAGTATTAACTTTTATGGTTTTTAAGATTCCAAATGCTTATGACTGTGATGAAATCCTAAAAAAAATTGCAACTTATTTATACCCTGTCATATTTTACCCTTACAATGTAAGTTATTTTCTGTACTATACATTTTTTTTGTGAAGTATTAATAACTTGAATGTATTTTTATAGATATTTAATACAATGAACGATTTAAAATTTTTTGTTGACAATTATGATACTGCTAAAAAATTGCACTTTGCTAGTTACAAGATAAAATTAAGAAATAATCAAAAAGTAAATAAAATAGAACAATTGGATTGTAGTTGAGTATTCATACAATTTAAAATATATTTTTTTAAGTTTAAGATTAAGGTATATGAATATTTTCCCAAACATCAGACTATATCTTATAGACCAGTGTCCAGTATCATAAAGGAAAAAATAGTCGAAGCAATGTCAACTCGTTATGATCCTAATACTAAGAGTCTGGATTTGTCTCGATTTTATGCATGTATATGTATGTAAAAGTTTATTTTATATTATACCATTAAGTTTTTAATTATTGATTAATAAGTATAAAACAAAGGCTTACATTTGTTTTAGTTTTTACTGACAATAAATTGTTTGTGCCTTTAAATCGACCATCAGTTCTTTTGGCTACATTAAATATAGCTGCTAAATATACTAAGCATGAACTTTATAGGCTCAGTCTTGAAAATAACCATATCTATTTGAAGGAAGGACTTGTATGGATACGGAGATTATTTCCAAGATTAAAATTCTTGGATTTGTCTGGCAATAAAGTAATATATTTTAATTTTTTAAGTTTGAACTTTAATTTTCTTTTATATTTTAGTTAACTGAGTTGAAAGTACTAAATAAGCTCTCAGGTTATTCTATTGAAGTCCTCAATTTATCTAATAATCCAGTATGTAGTACAAAAAATAAAGAAAAATTTGTATTGTAAGTATATTTTAGTCTTATAATACCAATTTACCATTTGTATTCGGGTTTTTTTTTTTAGGGATGTACTACAATTATTTCCTATGCTAAATAAATTGGTAAGTGTATTCTTCAATTTTATTATTTATTTTGAACACAAAATGAATGATAACAATGTTTCTTAGTAGAACTTGCTTGTTTGTTAATTTTTTTTTCATTTTTAATAAGCTAAAATGTCCAAAAGGTTGAAAATATAACTTACTTGGTTTAAATTACAAATTCTAATTGGACTGAAGTATTAGTAAAATCATGAGACCTATGATTTTTTAAGAAAATGAATTATCAGTTTTATTTTTAATAGAAACTAGATATAATCTAAAAAAAAAAAAAGATGAACTATTATTAGTTAACCTCTAAGTATTTATTGGATTAATTATTCAACTAATATTTATTCATTTTTTAAATTTATAGTATATAGTAAGAATTTCAATCTCAATAGACAAAAATACTATTCGGCTCTTAAAATGTTGTTTATTGGATATCTCTCTCTTTATATTCTAAGGATTGTTGTAAGTCTGGTTTTCTATACTTTATTTGTATCTTATATTTTCATATCGGCATATATTTTGAAGCCAACGTTATCATTGAATATTTAAGTTATTGAACTTCAGAGAAAAAAATATCTTGTTTTGAAAAATGTATTATCTGTACATAATATAATTATGTAATAAATTTTGTTTTGACTGTTGCTATGATACTAAAATCGTGATTCAAATAATATTATTCTATTAACTCGAAAAAAAATTGAAACTGTGTTGAATGAAATAAAAATTAATATTTAGAGAAATTTTAAGAGCTAACACTTAAAATTAAAATTTTTAAAAAGAACTCAGAAAATAAAATACTTATAGTTAGCTGATTTTTTAGTAATTATTGAGAAATAAAAAAAAAAAAAACAGTTGAACTATGATACATGGGAAAACAATTCACTGGCATTGGGTGAATTGCAGGAGTCCTTTAAGATGAATGATAATTATTCTTTTAATTTGAAATAAATGTACTAACATTGGTTTTTGAAAAATGATTCTAAGTAATGGTGGTTGGATGATCCAACTTTGATAACTTTGTTAAAGAAGTTGATCCAAACTTCTCCGACTAAAGATAGTTTATGATATTATTACTATACTAGTAAAAGCTAACTCGCGTGTGTATAGATTATAAATGTGAAGGGTTGGGAAGCTAAATTGCCTAATAATTAATTTGTTAACTCTATCTAAAAGTCTAATTTGTATTCCATTTAGTATTATCAACAAGATTTTCCCGTTTTCTCCCTTTAAAAATACATATTATTTTTTAATCTTAAGGATAAAAAAATAAATACATTTTTTTAATCAAAATTCTAATTGTTCAAAAAATGTAATAGAAATTCCTTATTTTGTCAATATTTAATATTTTTTTGCCACTTTCTATTCAACTTTTTTTTTTTTATTGCCTCCAAAGAAAAATTGTGAAAAATTTTGAATTTTATTTTCAAGCCTTAAGTATTATAATTGTGAGTCTTAAACATTTTTAACTTATAAAATGCAGAAGATTTTAGTGATTTTATTGAAATTGATCGACATTTAAAAAGTTAAAAATTAAAAAAAAAAGTTTAAAATGTTTTAAAACATTTATTAAAAGAAGTATGAGTATCATTTATTTGTACCTATGTGGATATGGATTTTGAATTTTAATTTGTACAAGTAAAAACAATGTGTGAAAAACTTTGTATTACATTTTCAAGGACTTTTATCAAATTAAAACTACATTTAATTTTTTTGGAAACTGTTAAGTTCAAAAAATGACTTACATTTGACAACATTTGTTATCAGAAAAAAAAATCTACTTCATAATCTGAGCAATAATTCTGGTAGATGTACAAAAAAAAAATAAATAAAAAAAAATACATATAGTAAAAACAATGTTCCTGCCTTGATTCAAATTGAAAATTTAACTGTAATTTAAATATCTGTGAAAAAAAATCCAATTTTTGATGCAGTAATATACCAGAATGATGAAAAATGATTACAGATTGAGTCTTACATTGTTGATATTTAATTTGAGCAGATGTCTATGATGTAGGTCAATGTAAATTTTTTCAGGATAATTTAGAATTACCATGTAGGCAAAGCACCATTGTTAAAACTAAGTTGTATATGCCAATAAACCTGGATAATAGTTACCCAATATCAGAAGGTCATAATCCTGAACAGCCAAATCCTTTGTTAACTTCAGTAGAATTATTCATTACCCAATTCTACAATATATATGATAATAAAGTCTCCAGACAAATGGTCTCTGAAGCATATCATGAAAATGCCACATTTTCTTTATCCAGTTGTTTTCTATCCAATTTGTATGTATACGCGATGCTTATTAAAATATCTGTGTTTATTTATAATTAAATATATTTTATATTATTTTAGTAGTAAAGGTTCTTTAGCACATTATAAGCCAATTAGTCGAAACTTATTGATATCTAGCAGATTTGGAAGGAGTGAAAAATGTGTTATATACAAAGGCAAAAAGAAAATAATAAGTGTTTTAGAAAAGTTGCCTAAGACAAGGCATGACCTTGATTCATTTTTCATTGATGTACCGATTGCAAATGTAAGTTTAAAACTAGTTGTCATCAAATTGTTTGTAATAGTTATAATTTTCTTGTCTTCCGAAGTCTGCGATGATTCAAATTGTAGTAAATGGAGTGTTTGCTGAAAATCTCACTGAAACCTGTTCAAGACCAGTGTTACGGTCATTTTGCAGAACATTTACTATAGTTCCGATTGAAAGTTCTTGGTATATATTGAGTGATTTGATGTTCGTGACTATGGTTTCTTATGAGTTGTTGATAGTAAATTAATTGTCTATTAATCTTGTTTTGTAAGTATTAATTGCATGTACATTTACAGGAATCATCAAAACGGTTTTATTATTTTAACCATAAAAATATTTCACCAGTAACAGATATAGTTAGTTACAATAAAATTCAAATGGCAGTGTGCAAAGAGAAAATTGATAAATTTTCTTGCATAAAAGCTTCATGTACTAAGAATCTGGACTCTCCGTTGTCTCTTCCTTTAAGTCCACAGAAACAACCACCTTGTGAAAGTAATTTTAAATATCTTTAAATTGTTTAATCTTCCAATAACAAAATTATCTTGCTACCGTAATTATTCAATCATAAATACAAACATTTTAACGTGCCATTTTTCATTTTTGAAGATTCACCATTAGAATCGGAAAGAAAAATTTCTGTTCCTCTTATGCCAGTAGAACATGAAACTACACAAAAGGTTGTAATGAATTCTATGAAAGATACTAAATCTTGCTCTGAAAGTAAACTGACTATGGTTAAGCGTTTTTCAAGTGAATCTGGAATGTATCCTGAGTGGGCTAAAAAGTAAGAGATTAGCAGTATAATTATTGGCTATTATAAATAAAGTTTAAAGAAATGATTTTAAACTTATATCACTTGGAAAATTAAATATTTAGTATTGTATTTGAAACTTTTCTGTATGTAGTTATTCAAAATTTTAATAAAGTTAAACTTAAATAAATAATTGTATTTACTTTTTATTATAGGTGTTTGGAAGAAAATGATTGGGATTACACTAAAGCTTCTTTGTGTTTTTTAAAATTAAAACCAAATATTCCTGCTGTAGCATATATACGCTGATGATTCTAAGAAGAAATATTTATATATACTGTTAAAATTAAGTTTATTTATATTTTTTTATTTTCTCTTTATAGTGTTATATATTATTTTGAATATTTAATGTATACATATATTTTATAACTTTAATCTTTAATCCTATGAAATAATAATAATTAATTAGTTTGTTATTTTTACTATGAAATTGGGTATATTGTGAAATATGAATCTATAAAACTAATACACCAATCAAGACTGTTAATCTTGTTTACCAATTCTCTATTTTTTGTTTAACTACCTTTTAAAATGTTATTTCATCCAATATCACAATTTTTTAATCAGTATTTTGATAAATTGTACATATTTCAAGCTGATGGTAATTATATAATCAAATTAACAATATTTGATATTCGCTTCGATAAATATTCTTCTTCTTCTTTACAGCTTAACGACTTCAATATATAGTTATAACATAATATACATTTTCATACCTATACAGTTTTTTTTCGTATTCTTCTTTTCTAAAGGCTTAACCTTGTCATAGTTAGAAAATAGATCTCCACTCCTCTCTCTTCAAAGCCAGAGTCTTCATTTGTGAATACCCGCTACATCCAGCCATTCCAATTATTTCTCCAATGAATGTCTTCCTCGGTCTTCCTCTTCCATTATGTTCATTGATTCTTCCTTCCATTATGTTGGTTATGAAAGAGTTATGTCTCAATAAATGTCCTATAAGTTTTCCGCTTCTTGATCTAATGATGGATAGTAAAACTCTCTTCTCCTTTACTATTTGGAGAATTTCTTCGTTACTCTTCCTTTCAGTCCAACTAATACGAAGTACTCTTCTCCAGGTCCACATTTCCATTGCTTCGATATTTTTTTATCTTGTGATGTTAAGGTCCAGGTTTTACTGCCATATAACAAAACACTCAATACGTAGCTTTTGGCAAAGTTTTTTCTGGTTTTTTGTGTGAAGGTTCTCTTTGCCATAGTTATTCGGCGTCTTATTTCTACCGAACATCTACTGTCACTCGTTAATATACTTCCTAAATATGTATATTATACCTGATCAATTATTTTGTTATTCTTATATTGATATTTATAAGGTATCTTTTTAATACCTCATTAAATGTAGCCAGTGATGATGTATATCCTTTGCTGTTTCTGTTACCATAGCAATATCATCAGTAAATCTGATACAATAGATTGTCTTTCCATTTATTTTTACACCTTTAGTTTTGATTTTAAGTTCTTGAACAACTTCTATGAATATATTGAATAAATAGGGTGACAAAGAACAGCCTTGTCTTACCCCTCTACAAATTCTGGCTGTGGATATGCAGTGTCCTATTTTAATTGTTGTTTCTTGGTTTTTATATAGTTCCATAATAATTTTTCTGTTTCTCCAATCCAGGCCAGTTCTTTTCAAGGTGGTCATCAACAAGTTCCAATTAACGATGTCGAATGCTTTTTCTAAATCGATAAACTCTATATATGTATTTCTGTTCATATTTAGCCTTCTTTCTGGAATCGTTTTCAAAGCTAAGATAGCTTCTTTGGTACCCAGTCCTTGTTTAAATCCGAACTGATCTCCTAAATTTATTTCCGTTTTTTTCCATATTTTCTTTTTTATAATGTTCAAAAGTATTTTTGAAGTGTGTGCAAGGAGGCTGATATTTGTTGCATTCGGTAGGATTTCCTTTTTTGGGAATAAGTATAGTTCTACTTTGTGTAAAATCTTTTGGTATTATACCTTCTCGGTAAGTTTTTATCATTTTAAATAAAATATATCTCTTTTTTTCCCTGAATGTTTCCATAATTTGACTGGTATTTCATCTATACCGACTGCTTTATTTAATTTTAAGTCATGGATTGCTTGGATGAACTCGCTTTTCATTATACTGGGTCCTATTTCATCTTCCTTAACACGGTTCATCTCTTCTATTCCAATATTATTTTCTGTTGTCTCATTATTTCTTTCATATAAGTCTTCTAAATATTCCTTCCACCTCCTTTTTTCTTCTTCATATAGACAGTTACAGGGAAAAAGGGCGTAAACGACATTTTCGTAATTTTTTAGGAAAGCTATAATAAAAATACAATATATTTTTCTGTCCTATTCTATCAAAATATTACTTAGAGGTATAATTCTTATATCAATCTATTAATTGATTATGTTTCTAATGTATTTTACTTACAACTATAAAATTTACCGATAATTAAGGTAAAAATTAGCTCATTAGCGATAATATGGCGCTTATGCCCATTGTTTCTCAACTTACCGGGCCATTGATGGTTACGCCTGAACTCTTGAACGTATGATTTAATGTTAATAATTCAATAAAAAGTATTCAAAATAAAATTAAATAACGTGTATTTAATTATCACATAAAAAAAACAGTAAAATATTCCTTTAAATAAAATAAAACATCGCTTTTTAGTAAAAAGTATTCAAAATAAAATTATATAACGATTATTTAATTATCACATAAGAAAACAGTCAAATATTCCTTAAAAATAATAAAACAACTATTTTAAAAACAAATCGATATAATTACAATAGTAACCAACTAATTTATAATACTTAATGATAAAATGAGTAAAAAAAATTTGATAATTTATCAGTCTTATTTTAAACTGACAGTTTCATCTTCCTCGTCAGTTTCTTGTAAACAGTCTTGGGTTTTTGAACTATTTCTCATTTGCAGATACTCCTCGTGAAACTCGTTTGGAATAATTCCAGATGTACACAATTTAATAAGATCATTATATTTTTCTTTCGAGATTGCAATGGTTTCTTTATACAACTTTTTTTGCAAAGACTTCTGTAGTGGATCGAGATACTTTTTTGTTCCGACCATCCTTAAGTTTTAAGGTTTTTGGTTCACAATCAGGATTATATGAAAAATATGCATGGATATTTATGGAATGCAAATTATCATCTTCACTATCCAAATTCAAACGTGAAAAAACAAAGTCGTTTACAACATCATGTATTATTTAATAGTCGTTTAATCGCCTAATAAAAGTCGTTTACGCCCAACAACAACTACGCACCTGATAACGAATGGCGGTTACGCTAAATATTTAAACATCGATAGTTATTCGTAAAGAAATCGTATCGATACAATCATTGGCTCTATCGATAAAGAATCGTTGCGTTTACGCCAAAATTCTATTAACTCATTTTCGTTCAAAATTTCGTTTACGCCCTTTTTCCCTGTAATCGTCGTTATATTAAAATGTTTCCATCTTTATTTATAACCACTGTACTTTTGGTTTTTGGGTTTCTTGAAAGTTTTTTAATGATATTGTATGCTGTTCCTATATTACATGAGGATAAATTATACTGAATATCTTGGCATATACCATCCATCCATTTCTCTTTTGCTTCTCTACACTTTGAGTTATTCTATACATTGATTCGTCTTTTTTCCTGAAATTATTTCTTTGATTTATTAACTCCATAATTTCATTTGAAACCATGGATATCCTCGGAGCAAGTTTTAGGTATCCAATCGATTTTTCTGCAGTTTTCATAATATTTTCTTTCACATTTTCCCATGTGCTGTTAGTGTCTATTAATTTTGGTATTCTATCTGATTCGCATGTGCAACTTGTTCTTGTTTCTTCCGTTTTGAGTTTATTGAGATCCCATGTCTTGTATTTGGATCGATTCTTAGACTTCTTGAGTGTAACCCGATATTTCATCATGACTAGTTTATGATCACTGTCAATCTCTGTTCCAGGAAAGCTATGACTTTTTTACTTGATTTTTAGAGCGGGATTTGACTAATATATAATCTAGTTGATAGCGTGCGGTGTCTCCTGGAGCTGTCCACGTGTAACATCTTCTTAGTGGTACTTCAAAAATTGTATTTGTGGTTACAAAGCTATTTTGTTTGCAGAAGTTAACTCCTCTGTCGTCCCTTGTTCCTAGTCCATATTTTCCTACCGCGTCACTATCATTTAAATTTTCAACCATAGCAATAAAATCTCCCATTATAATTAGGTTGTCTTTATGATGTATGCGTTCTATGAGCTCTTCTAGAATGTTATACATTTGTTCTATTTCTTCTTCATCACTATTTGACGTTAGGAAGTATACCTGTATGATGGTCGAATTTACTGGAGCTGTTTTAATTCTGACTATAAGTATTCTATTATTTACGTGATAACTGTTTTCAACACGCGTTCCATAATTTTTGTTCGACAACAATGACACTTCGTTTTTTCCTTGTTTTCCTCCGTTATGTATTATTCTAAAATCATCGCTCCAGAAGTCGTCATTGTCACCCATCTCTTTTCGTATACTCCTAGAACATCTAACTGTTTTTCTCTCAACTGCTATTTCAACTCTCCTAGTCTTCCGGGATTCAAAAGAGTTCTTATATTCCAAGTACCTATTTTAATAGGTTCTTTTTTACTAGCTACGTGGCCTGGTTTTCGCTGGATGACGACCTGGGAAACTCTGCTCCTCCTTCCCCTGCCAGACTCCGGGTTCCGATTCCCATCGTCTATATTTATATATTTTCTCTTGTCTATTTTCATCACTTTAGCATGGGTGTGTAATGAGGTGATTTCCCTTTGCTTTCCTCATCGCAATATTCTAGCCGTCAAACATGTTCCACGTTTCGTCTAGAATAATCTGATAACGAGTCGTACCAGAAGATCCTTCTTCTGCCTCGCTTAAATACTGATGGTTACTGCTGCTCTTCATTTGGTGTTTAATCCCTATAGGGATTGAACGTTTTTACTGGAATCGCTCGCTTGGAGCTTTCCGCCAGTAAAAGCTCGGGGTTGCTAGGCCTGTAAAACAATGTGTTCCCTTGAGGAGTATTCGTATTAAAATTATTTTATTGGAATTCAATTAGAAGTTATTTCAAATCTTGATTCGGCTACTATAACCGCTATTACACAAGCATTTGATATTATGCAAAATAATGACCTGAAAAATCATTTAGCATTTATTTTAACAAGTTTTTATTTCTTGGTTAAAGTATTAAAATAATTATAAATATTAAATCTAACAATAATTGAAAGTCTTGTGATTATAGAAAATGCAGAAATCAAATTGAATGAAAGTGAAGGAGAATTTGGAGTATAATAAAAGATAAATTAAACTACAAAATCTGTAATAACGTTGGTTTACAAACAATTGGAACTATTAGAAATATTCTAATGAATAAAAATTATAATACGTCAGATACCTAATATTGAAGTAACACCATCTATATAAGTGGTATGAATATGCCCCATTAACCTCGATTGAAGTTGAATGCACCTTTAGCCGCTACCAGTCGATTTTGAAACGTATTTAGACTTGCTTCTAGGGAGGGGAAAATCAATTTTTTCTTTAATTCAGACTAAAATGTTTGGTAATATTTGAATCAGGTGAGTCCTCAATATTTGTGATTTTTTTTTTTTTTAATCTAATGTCAGATCCACTTGGAATCAACTTTGGTGTAGTTCTTTTTTAACACTTGTCTGTGTTTTATAAGTTACGCTTGTGTTTTATTTGATTTTTCACTAAGTATGGACTCGACAAAAAGTCCAATTCAGTATTCACAGTAGAGATGTTAAGTTCGTGAACGAATAGTTCATTTGAACTATTCACTTTGATGAACTATTCTGAACTGTTTCAGTACCTGTAATTTAACAGTTCACAGTTCGAAAAAAATTGGTAGTATTGAATAAATAAAATAGTTCACGAACTTCTTTAAAAATTCTCTGTGGTTCATTGTTTGAAATCCTGTAAATGGTTGTTGTGTGCCGGTATATGGATACTGGACAGTAAAAAATGGAGCTTATACATTTTTGATTTTTTTTTTTTTTTTTTGCTTTTCAGCTTATTAGTGTTTAGTATTTTTAATTGTTTGTCAAATTTGAAAGAAAATTGTTAAAATAAATTAAATTTCCACTTATATTATTCACATCTGCTTAGATATTATTAGAAGTTATTAATACTTTCGAGAAAAATACACCAGTACTTCTACAAAAGTAATATCACGTAAACCATTTAATACAATGGCTGTATTAATAAGCAATAATAAGAACCATTTAAATGTATCAATTATATGAATTGTAAAAAAAATATGATTAATAACATAAATAAAATAATTAGGTAATTGAAATAACTCCTCAATTAATTAACTTCAGTATATAAAAATATTTTGTAAAAATCATAACTGTATATTAAACTAAAAATATGAAAAACTGTCAACATTTAGAGTAAAACTTTTCAATCATAAAATAATTGTAGTGGATAAAACACAAAAATAAATAATTAATAAATATTAAATATTTAATAGTAGGTAATTTAAAATTTGTAAAAAATTTATTTTTAATTGAAATAGTTTTTAAGTATTTTAATATGTATTTTAGCTTAATCTGTAGGGTTAGGCTAACATTTTGGCTTTTAATTATATTGAACTAAATAATAACTATAAAATTAATTATGAGTAATTATTAATTAGATTGAAATAAATATATAGTTTAATTTTTAATTTTCAGTAAGGTTATTTTTTTAATTTTTTTGATTCTATTTGATGTTTAATTTTAATTAATAATAATTGAATCGGTCATTTCGAAAAAACCATAACTCCATAAAATGAAAATTGTTAAGAAACGTAAAAAACGGTTTTTAGAGATTAAAATTAAATTTAGATAAACATTGAAAAAGGGTCGAGTTATTTAATTCCTTTATAAAATACCAGCTATATGACGGTCTTGCAAAAAATATGCATTATTACCTATTAGTTAAACACGTCTATCACATAAAACTAGTTTTGAAAATGTGTGGAGAAATGGCCTTTTCGATTCATTTATAATATTGCAATTATTTATTTATACATATTTATTAGGAATTTGTGGGAAGGAAATAATATTACATGCATATAATGCATATAATTTTACTTAATAGATTTATATATGTACTCGTATATCGGTATTTAAATTTTTTTATAACAAAATTAGAATTAATAGATAATTACAATAATAATTTTTTTTTTCCTTAAAATTATCTTATATTTTTATATTAATTAAAAAGTAGTAAGATCACAAGGACAAATATTTTCAAATGCATATAAAATTTTAGATTATACTAGATTACACAATGGAAGAAATAATAAGATTTCTATTGAATACTAAATAAATAAACTAAGTAATAAATTAAGTACTTATGCATATCGATATATTTTCATTATTTTTGACAATTCAATAATTTAATTTGCTATAAAAAATCAGAAAATATCGATAATTATAGAAATAATATATATTTGTTATGCTTTAGGATAAGATAATTGGTATGTTAATTATTATAAAGTTTATATTAATTAATTAACTATTATTATACTAACTTTAAATAATAAAAATCATTATACTAATTTTCGGCCCTCAGAATACAGGAGTTCTTTTCGTGGAATCTTTAAAATACAGACATTTTGCGTAATTGGATAATATGTAAATATTTAAGTTATATGTGTCACAAAATATATTAAGTTACCGTCTCTATTTAATTTCTAAATACAAACTTTTGGCTTATTGTGACACATAAAACTACACTGAATTTTGCTATGTTTCGATAACGTTAGGATTGAACGTGTACTTATTGTAGTTTTCTGAAGTAAAGTATGCTAACGAAAACTTAGAATGAGTATGTATAGTATCGATATAGGTTACGGGTTGAGTACTAAATCCAAGGATACGAATCATGAAACTATATTATATCAATACCGCCGATGACGTATGGGTTAAACAACAATGTGTATTATACCACACAATTATTCAAAAATAATTTTTTAATACATCTGATTTATGAATATTCACTACTTAACCAAATTTTGGTATTGAGTGTTCTGATACTCCGAGAAGCTCAGAATATTTGTGCAGAACCGGGTTTGTTGTTACGTGTCAAATCATGTTATTTATAATATTCCAAGGTATACTTGTATCATGTGTAATAATAGTTATACTTCTAATAATCAGTTTGTTTCAAAAACCATTGCGATGAAAGTTTTAACAATTATAGTATTTATCAAGCAATATAAAAATGAATCGTCCAAGTACCTAATATAATTAAATATATATAGTATTTAATTCTATGACCATTAACAATTTTTTATAACATTTAACCAAAGCCGGACTGGGTCAGAAATTTCTAACGGGAAAATAAAAAAAAAAAAATGGCACAATTAGATACAAGTACCAAAGGTATAAAACAACCATAGAAAAACGTATATTTTCATAAAAAATGATTGCATATTTTTTTGAGAATTTGAACACATAATATTATTATTAAAAATTAAAAGACCGTTTTTTTAATTTTAGACAGTTTCTACTGCAATCGCATTAAAAAATGCGTCTATGCCTGTCGACAAAATGAGCCTCAACCGATAAACCTAATAAAAAAAACCCAACGAATACAAGTGGCTCAACGGGAAGTTCCCAGTATCCCGCCTGCTCAATCCGACTATATGTATGTATTTAACATAATGTCGTTTTTAACAATTAAATGTTAAGCTAATAATGATCGATGCTCTAAGTTATAATTACTAGTTAGCATTTGACTTACCAATAAGAAAATAACCACTGAGCGAAGTTGATTATCAAAATTATAATTTATATTAATGTAAATATTTGTTATAATTTTAGTTTATGCTGAAGATTCATACTTGTTATTTTAAATTCTTTTTTTGGGTTGTATTTATTTTATAAAAATAAAACCAATGAAAAGTATTTAATATTAATAAGTAGAAACATGGGAACAAACAACCGATTTCGACTTCATTCAGAAATCATGTTTAGAAACTATTAAACTATTAATCTTTATTCATTTTGATGGACTATTTTTATTTATTGTGCAATTAGAAAATTACTTAATAATAGAACATCTGTATTAGTCGAGTTTGAGCATTCCGAATGATGGTATTATTTCAAAATATTTTCAACAAATGTTTACAGAACACTATTTTTACCATCTATAAAACCCAACTGGAAAGAGAAACTGACCATCTATAAGCAGCAGTTTCAGCTCTTTGTTACTTTCTCAACTCTATTTGAAGTAAGTCATGAATTTTATTAGAGTTCACTGATTGATAGCCTCTTGATGTTAATTTTAAGTTTCTCTGTTATTACTTACATATATTATCATAACAAATTAAAGTTTGATATTTTGATACGAGTATCATGGCTATATATTATAATACCACTAATTTCATTTATCAAATATTATTGTGACTACATATATTTTTTTTTTTTTTTAGTTTTTCGACCTTTAAGACCATCCCGTAAAATAAATTTCCCTACATCTTATTCTGTTTTCAGCTATTTCTCTCCAGTTTGCTCTTGGATCTACTTCTGTAACTTCTCTCTTCACACAGTCTTCCCATCTGAGGCGTGGTCTGCCTAGTGGTCTTTTTCCTTTTGGTTCCTCTTCAATTAACGTGTTTATCATAGCATCTTTTTAACACTTACTCTTAAACACCCCCTCCCCAGAAAAAAATTGTATCTACACCACTAGATTATACCATGATATCATAAGTTTTGACTAATTATATTATATTTTGCATTATAATTTTATTCTTATATTCTTTTCTAATTAAATTGATTTGTTAATAATTGTATTTAGTTGTAAAGCTTGTTAAATGCAATACAATAATAATAATGTATATACTATTATTAGATCTTGGTTTCAAGTTTAGCTCTAATCTAGATCATAAACAACACATTGAGTATATGTACTGCAGAGCGTTTAAATCGTTAGGCTTTATATTTAGGTTGGCTAATGAACTTCATATAAGTATGTCTCTCAAGGCATTGTATTGCACACTTGTTCGTTCAATTTTGGAGTATGTTTGTATTGTATGAAATCCACATATAGCTAGTAATATAAGGCAAATTCAAAGATTCCAGAACAAGTTTTTACGTTTTGATAGTTATATCTTTAAAATTCCCTATCCACCTCATGATTATTTACTTGCCATTAATGCTCTTGACCTCCTCTCCTCGGCGGAGCCTAAACAAATTGCTGATATTCAATTTATTGAAGAACTCTTAAACGGCAAAATGGATTCCAATGAGTTTGTTTCGAGCATATGTTTGAAGGTGCCATTTCATTAGATATATTGCTTCATTTTTTATTCTTCCGGCCACCACTAAATACTTGACTAATTAACCACTTAATAGATTAATGACGAACGCTAATGTGGACTCTTATTTTCAGTTTTCTTTTTTTCTTTTTTCATGTTCTAATTAATTGTATATATTGGATGTCTGAATCATGCATGTTACCATCATAAAATAATGTAAAATTGTACACACTATGCAAAAAAAGGGCCTCGCCTCTTAAATAAATAAGTAAAATAAAAAAATAAAATATACAATGCTTACCAATATTGATCAACAATAATGGTGAAAACAATGTGTTTGTAATTATGAATGTTACTGCGAAGAATAAAAAACACATAATGGAAGAAATCAATAGATAAGGCGGACAAATTTTTTTCCAGAAACTAACATGACATCGCCACACTGGTTTTTAGTATTTATTTAATTTTTTTCATGATATTCAATAGCAAAAAATCTAATTAATATTTAGAACGAGTGTGATGTCGACATGAGTTACAAGTCCATTTGTTCACGCTTACAATTTCTGAATGCTTGATCAGTGATCATTATTGGATTTAAAAATACCCGTGAAATAGTCATGGTCACATTTTATTAAATTAAATTTTTAAAATCATTAAAACAATACTCACAAAATCACACACTTTGAAATCGTGATTCCTCTTCATTAGTTATATTGGATTTTATTTAGACTACATATAATAGTTCCGAGATTAATAAACTAGAAAGTTCAAAACTTTGTTTCTTGATTCAGAACTATCAAAATCATTGATAATATTTTCAAAAAGTAATGAAGAGGTTATTTCAGCTTTAATTAAATTTTTTTATTTAATTTTTTTATTGACTTGCAGAAAAACGGATCCTCTCCTTTATACCAATCGCAAAATACTCGTACGTTTGGAATATCAACTGATTAAACATTGTAAAATTATCATAGGAGATGGTTCACTTCGGTTTCATAATTATATTACATTTTCCTCAATCATTTAACAAAATCTACATTGGATTTAAGCAATACAGATGATAGGAAGATTTTACAATATATACTTGGTTAGCGCATTGTCATTGCAGATAACTTGACAAACACCAATTTCAATAGACGTATTATGATCACCATTGCGGTATAAGTACAGGACCAGATTTAGGCATATTAAAACATTTGGAAAAATAAAAAGTTGTGGTCCTTTGTCAACAGAAGCCAAAGGTATGTACCTATTCACTAGGTACATACCTTTATCGGTTGAAAAGACGAATTAATACCAGGCACGCCACCAAGGATGGGGAGGGGCGAAGGAACAGTTTTATTTTATAATAAATTGTGTAAAGTTCACTATTTCCATGTTGTCACATTAATATCAAACGTTGGGAAAATAGGTTTTTTGCTAATAACGGGTGTGAGGGTAAAGTGAATATATAAAATATTTAAAATTGTTAAACAAATTCAAACGGCAAACAAAACAAACGTGAAAAAAAATGATATATCAAAAGTATTTAGACAATAAGAGGCTGTAGACATATGTCCCCAGCCCCTTCTAATAGTTTTTGATATTATATAAAATCTATTTTCGAACAAATTTTGACAATTATTAAACCAATTCAAATAAATGACGAACAAAATATCTGCAAAATAATTTTATAGTATTCTTTTGCTGAGGGATTGGGGACATGTACGTCAAAATTAGCAACTGATTTGAAACAATCTGCTTTAATGGTTACATAAATTCCATTTCAACACACTCAACACAATTCAAAATACAAAATAATATTACTGAGAGTGAGACATATGTCTACAGCCTCTACTTGTCTAAATACTTTTGATATACCTTTTTTTTTTCACGTTTGTGTTGTTCGTCATTTGTTTGAATTTGTTTAACAATTTTAAATATCTTCACTTTATCCCCACACCCGTTATAAGCAAAAAACCTATTTTCCCATGTCCCTGCCCCCACTTTTTGAATATTTAATTTTTTTTTTATGGTAGTATTGTTTATCATTTGTTTGAATTTGTTTAACAATTTTAAATATCTGTACTGTAATCTCTCTCCATTATATGAATAATAAAAAAAAGTGTTGTTCCTTTATTTTGTACTTCAATTAATTTTTTATCGAAACAATTGTTTTAATCTGTTAACAAAATCGATGGAAAAACTATTGTTGAACCATCAATTGTTATTGAAGCAATTTCACTTTTCATAATTTCTATTCAAACAAATGACAAACAATACGGTCGTAAGAAAAAAATTAAATATTCAAAAAATGGGAGCGGGGGACTCGGGAAAATAAGTTTTTGTGGTAAAGTGAACATTTTGAAGATTGTCAAATAAATACAAAGAAATGAAAAATAAAATAATCGTAAAAAAAAAAAAGGGGAAGTATGAAAGGTATTTAGACATTTTTCTTTCTACTTTTCTCGTAGTTTTTGGTAACTAATTGTCAAATTAATTCTGATAATTATGTACGTTTGATATTAATGTGACAACTTGGGAATGGTGAACTTCACGCTTGTGATAAATTCACCGATTGAATACTATTTGGTTATCAAATACATTCCTAATAATAATATCCCTGCCGTCGCGACCGGCGCTACGGTCCATAAATAGTCTGCTGGCTTCTTAAACCCGATCCAGTTGAAACTGGACCGTAGCGCTTTCTTCCAACCGTAAATCCTCTTCTCGCGCTCGTCAACCTTCATCTTGGACTCGTACGTCTTACCTACGTCCTCGGGCATGCACAGCGCATTCCACACATTTATCTCAGCCGTATAGCCAGCTGCCATGGCTACGCCTAATTCAGCCATTTCGTTGTTCGTGGCCACCTCCACCCGCGCGTTAGTGATGTTTGACAAAGACTGCATTATCGTCTTGTTCGTCGAAAGGTACCCGTCTACCTTCAAATGGTCCAATGGTGCCTTCGAATCCAACCGCATCGCTTCCAGGATGTCCTGCGACTGAAAGCTCACAGACTCCATCGCAGCCTTCAGAATACTTTCTCGGTAAGTGTACTGGTTCATGCCGACCAGGGCGCAGCGAGCCATGGGCTGCCAATGCGGCGCGTACAGGCCTATGAAAAATAACGTGATTGTACCTAATAAGTCATTAATAATGTCGATAAAATCGAGATAAATCGAAAGGGATTGTGACAAATATCGCTATCATGGAATAGGCACAGAAAGAATTAAAGAAAGCAAAGAAGAATACGTGTATATGTAAGAAACAATGAATGTACTAACATGGAGAAACATTGAGACCTAGACAAAATATTTTTACCGTGGAACGCGGGGACAAAGTACATCGAAAATGGGTTTTTCTTTTGACAATCTTTATCTTCGATGTTAAACTGTTTTTTCGTCCATTTGATTGATTTGCCGGCCAGAGCGATCTTACCCTCCAACGCATACACAGGCTTCACGTCTAAATGGTACGCGATGGTTGTCATGAGCCCGTTATCTGAAAAAATCTTTGTCTCGTCGGTGACGTAAAACACAGAACCGGCATCGTCCAAAGTGATTTTGGTCGACCCACGCTTGAAGCATCTGTGACCGATCAGAGCCGCTTGCCGGTTCCCCATGACCGCGGATATTATTGTGTCCTTTAGCGGCCCATCCGCAAATCTCCCGTATACATTGCAACTGCTTTTGATCGTCGGCAGACAGTCGATTGTAATCCCGAAGAATTTGAGGAGTTTTTTGTCCCACCTTAACGAGTTTATATTCATAAGGAACGTGTTGGCCGCGTTAGTTGTGTCAGTGGCAAACACTCCATCTGCGAAAACGAAACAGAAAACACGTATAAATATAGGGTATCAGTCGAATTTGAACGCGTGTTTGAACATTGGCATATTCAAAGTTATTATATGAGAGCAGCTTTAAGATAGCTAGAGCTAGAGCGCTGCACATTACTTTTGGGATAACCTTCGTATAGAAAACGTACTAGTGTGTGGCCACCTTTACTACCATTACGGTTACAATTCACATAGTTTTTATCATGGTACGGATTACGATTTACCGCGGTTTATACGTTCAACAGACAGGCATTGAAATAAATGTGAATATTACTTTTCAGGCCGCCGGTCAGGTTCCACAACAACCATGTATCCACGGTGCCGAAATAACAATTGCCGTTTTTGTAGGCCTCGCTAACGCACACGTCGTTGTCGATGAGCCACTTGATCGTAAACGCGGCGAAACACGTGCTGAACGGCAATCCGCACGTTGTCTGGAACCGGTACTTGCCGTAGGACCACGAGTACCTTTCGACCATGGTCGCGGTCCGGTGGTCCGACCACAGGATCAGGTTGCAAAGCGCGGCCCCCGTTCGTCTGTTCCACGCGACCACTGAGCCCGGATGGTTGGCTATACCGACCGTGGCCACCGGTATGCCCATCACCTGTCCCGCGGTCACCGTCCGGTCCACGCACTGCCGCACCGCTTCCAGTAAGGCCATCGGATTCTGTTCTGCCCATCCATCGCGCGACGTCGCTAAATTGAACACCGGCACTCGGTGTGAACTCACTACGCACGTGGAGTTAGTGCGGAACGTGTAGAAGCACGCGTCGTTGGTGTTCACCACTATCGCGCCCACCGCGGCCATGTCCACTCCATGTTCACTGCCATGTCCATGTAATTCGTGAGAAGAACGTGCGCAGGCCATTTTATTGTTAAAAATAAGTAATGATAAAAAAATAAAGTTAAAAATACTTGGAATTTAAAAATTGTTTTAATTTATTTAAATCACGCAAAACCTCATAGCCGTAGTTAATAATGTGGATAATAATAATTACCGTGGAAACCGTATTATGATTTTTCATTATTCTTTCTTTTTGAGGAGTAACGTTTTTCCAGTAATATTGTGTAATCCCTATTATAACCATTGAATTTATAATTTATTTATTTTTAATAAAATAATAATTTTTATTTATCAATTATGATCAAACAGTTCTTATAAACAAATGTTACGTTTACGTATACACAATGATTGAATTCGAAAACTTCAACGACTTAACTAAATTTTATTACTTATAGTAATGACAATTATACCATCGATAAACAACTAATAAGATCCTGTTCATGTACATTAAATGGATCTAACATAGGTTTTGTTGTATAAGCTGAGCAAAATCGTATGATACGTATAGACACAAAAAATATAATTTTTAAAAAAGTAACAATTAAAATAACGCATATATTTTCGTAGTCGTCTAGTCACACGACTACCACGGAAGAACCTCTTTATTAGTTCATTATCTCTTATATACATTTAGATACCTCTAATAATAATAATAATAATAATAATAATAATAATATAATAATTTACTTACATGCAATAGAAGAAATAAAAAAAAATGTTTATGCTAGCTTATTTTATATTATGACATTAATATGACCTGAATTTGAATTGCCTAATACTACAGTCCACGTTGTTGAAAACAAAATACATACTCATATTTTATGATCGTCAGCTATTTTTTTTTTTTATAGGGTTCTGTGGATTAGAATATGGTTGTTTTGCATTTTTTTTTTTGGAAATTTCGTTTTATGCGGTATTTTGCTTTTTTTTATATTATTATCATATATATATATTTTTTTTTTTTTTGATGCAATTTTGTCGGTGGTTAGTGGTTTTGTTACTTAAATTAATTTAGTCATCCGTCGTTCCTTCAAGATAAAGAAACCCATCGAATACGTAGTCCCTCGAATAAATAAGCATTTCCATATCCGTTGTTGTATTTATTATTTTATTTATATTATTATTTATTATGATTTTTGTGTGGAGTGGTCTAATGATGAATTTTTCCTAACGGCTCTCCTATATATTGCTGTTTTGCCTATTAGTTATCCGAGTTTTAATTTTACATTGATTAAATATGTATGTATATATTTTTATTATTATTATATATTTTTTATAACAATATCACGTCACAAGATATAATTAATATAAACAAAGTTTCTTATAGTTAGAAGGAAAGAGAGAGAGAGAGAGAGAGAAAGAAAAAAAATATACATATAATTATTATTATTTTTGTACAAGTAAATATTCCTTAAAATATTGTTTCCCAAAATACAAAATATTTTTCCTACAAGAACATATTTCATAACATATATATTTTTTTTATTATACTAACATTTTTTTTTTTTACATTTTCCAAAAGGTATAAAGGCTTTAATTTAATGTAAAGGTACAGTAATATGGTTTTTATTACATTTTTTTTTTTATTAAGATTACCTTTTGTATTTTAGTTAATTCATATTTGAATTGGTTTCTCTGAACATCTTTTGGTTTCTTAAACAAGTTTAATAAATTTTTTATTATTTTGTTATTATTTTTTTTTGTGGAACATGTTGTTTTCACGTTGTCGTTATCGTCTCTATTCGGATTCCTGTAGACTTTGAATTTTTATATTAAAAGTTTAATTATATAAGATGTTCTTTATAAAACTAATATCTAGGAGAGATAGTTGGGGTATGATTAACATATCTATTTTGATTAGATCTGGGAATATTTTGCATCCTATAAACCCTATTATAGTATGCGAGGCGAAAAGTGAACCACGATCCTCATGCGCCAAGTGACTGTTTTTCATCAACGCTACTCCTATTGTTTTCCCGCCTAAAATAATTTCAAACGACGTGATGTAGATTTTTATCATAAAATACAAATAAATAATATATAATATACAAATAATACATAAAATACAATTTTTTAATTATTAATATCATTTTCATCATCGTCTTTGTCAGTAGAACTATCGTCGGGATTAATCGTGATAATAATAGGCTCCAACATTTTGTCTCTTAAATTTTCCAACAAAAATGATAATATAATATATTTAGTAATTCACAATATGCGGCCCACACGACACACAATAATAATAAATAAAACAATGTGTGGCCCATACGGCGCACACTAATAATAAATAAAACAATGTGTTTCTTACATGGCGCACACTAATAATAAATTAAATAAATAAATAAATGACCTGCTAGCCAATAGACTCGTCGGTTTTCAATGAAAATGGTGATGCACTACCTACCCTGTACACATGATGTGCTATAATGCCGGTATCCGTAATTAATAATAAAAATTAATACAATAAAAAACACAAGTGATTCCGCACACTACAACACACCGCTAACTGCACCACGAATTACAATTCCTGTTGCAACCGGACCATACAAAACAATATACCACATTTAAACACTCAAAAATGCAGTCAATGTCAATGGTGACAAATTGAACACCCTAGAGGGACAAAAAAAAAATGAAAGGCAAATGTTCTGCGTGATAGTTACCAATGACTGATTCACAATAAAACCGACAAGGCAAAAAAACTTGATATTACAAAAATGGCTGTTAACAGGAACAAAGTGACAACAGGTATTCACACTATGACGGACACGAACAGAGAAAAAGACGATGCCGGCGACATTCACCACGAAGGCTCTGGCCGCCGGACAGTACAAATTGAAGATAAATGACTAAGTGCCACCACATTAAACTAAAAAACACGAAAACTTACGAAACTTTGTGGCACTGAGAACATGACTTTGATTTTTACTTAAACATAACCGGAGGGCCATCCCGAAGGGGGATCTTGTGAGGGTGTCTCACCCCCTTAACAAAAACACCAGTCGGCAGTCGGACTTGTTTCATTATAGCCTAGAAGGACCTAATTTTACTTACGGATAACAAATATTACATGTTTCGTAATACAGTGTAAACACGAATACAATTTATATAACTACTTATTATACAATATAAAATATTATTATAAATATATAATAAAAAAATATATATATAAAATTTTAAGAACGTGTGACACTGACACATACATACATGTTAAAAAGTAAAAATACGACTACAAATAGTTAATTATACTAGATACATTGAGTAAAAAAATTTTAATCGGTATTTTTCTTATTATTAACTCCCCCCCCCCTCTTGATTTTCATCTTCGGGACGGCCCTGCATAACCGGAAAAAACTTGAAAACGTGCAATAACGAACATTTACGTGCGACGATAACAATGCAATTACGTACCCGGCCGGTCACACACGGATGCTTATCATCGCTGCCCACAATGGCTGCGGATACGCAACGCACCGCTATGCATCGCACGAAAATGATAACATTCAATACAAAAATCACGGATAGTAATGATCTCACGCGCGTAATGGGCGGTCAGCCCATGAAAGCTGTTGCTATCGTCGACCGATAATACGTACGATAAGAATCGATACGAAAACAAATACGAGTATACACACATGCAATTGAAAAGGCCATATTGGCACGAACAAAAGCACTATTTATTAACACTTCTACATCTGTCATTTTGAACGTGTTATTTTTTTCCGCAACTTTATCCTTAACTTGCGACCAAATTAATTCGATTGGGTTATATTGATAGTGGTAAGGAGGAAGTCTTACTACTTCATTGCCGATCTGAAGTGCAATTTTGTGCAATTTATATTTCTTTTCTCTTGGCATCGTCAATATGACTTTTTCCCGTAGTTCACTTAATGTCTCTACGGGAGAAAAGTCTACAGACTTATTTTGTAACCATTTTTGTACATCTGCCTTTCAAGTGTTTGCCTTAGGGTACTCTTCTGTTAGGGTAGAATGGTATGTGGCATTGTCCATCAGAATTATACATTGTTCTTCTAAATTACCCAACATATCTATAAACTTGTTGAAATAGTTTTTAAGTATTTCAATATGTATTTTAGCTTAATCTGTGGGGTTAGGCTTACATTTTGGCTTTTAATTATATTGAACTAAATAATAACTATAAAATTAATTATGAGTAATTGTTAATTAGATTAAAATAAGTATATAGTTTAATTTTTAATTTTCAGTAAGGTTATTTTTTTAATTTTTTTGATTCTATTTGATGTTTAATTTTAATTAATAATAATTGAATCGGTCATTTCGAAAAAACCATAACTCCATAAAATGAAAATTGTTAAGAAACGTAAAAAACGGTTTTTAGAGATTAAAATTAAATTTAGATAAACATTGAAAAAAGGGTCGAGTTATTTAATTCCTTTATAAAATACCAGCTATATAACGGTCTTGCAGAAAATATGCATTATTACATATTAGTTAAACACATCTATCACATAAAACTAGTTTTGAAAATGTGTGGAGAAATGGTCTTTTCGATTCATTTATAATATTGCAATTATTAATTTATACATATTTATTAGGAATTTGTGGGAAGGTTTCCAGTCTTAGTGCCATCCCACTCTTTAAATAGAAATTTACTTGTACGGATTCTCACGGAACCTAAAAATAGTACAATTTAGCTACTCAAACTTCTATTTGACTTGGATAAGGTTGAATTAACCTTTACTGATGATGCACTCAGAACAATTGCTTCACAAGCATTAGAAAAAAAACTGAAGCTCAGGGTCCACGAGCAACTGTAGTAATTATTTATAACTTAATTATCTTTAAATAATGACTATATATACTAATGTTGGTTATGAAATAATGAACTATGATATTAATATCAAAATACATTTTCAAAACAATACAGTTTTTTATTTTTTAACTTAATTTATGTAGGTATAATTTATTTCACTGTATAAAATATATTTTAAATTGTTATTGGAATCCATTTTATTGGACCCTATTTTTGAAATACTAGGATTAGATGTTATTAGTGTACATGTCACAGAAGATGCTGTCAATGGAAAAATGATTTTATTGTTTAAGAGGTCGTCCAATTGATGAAGGGAAAGCAAAAATAGACCAGAGCTAAAGTTGAATAAACTAATAATATTTTTTAATTTTTGTTTTTTATTGAAATATTGTTTACAACTATTTTTTTCTGAAAAACTTTTCAGGACATCGTTTTATGAAATATTCATTTTTATTGGTAAATTATCTGAGTTTGTTTATCTTTGAACTACCTAATACTTATATTTAATAAATATTATGTTATGTACATTGCATTATAAAAGTATATTATAATTTTTTTTTTCTTCCATTCGAATCAGATGCATTCCCTGGTGTTTAAGTACATTCCATTGAACATGTGCTCATGTCATAATTAATGTTTTCCAATATTTTAATGATACTGTCAAATAGAGTAACATTAGCCCTTAATGACAAATTTGGCTCATAAGTTGGAAAACGCTTAATTACGAGATAACAGCTGAACTATTTAACGTAATTTCTTTAAAACTGTATCAAACTGCAGGTAAGAGTTATGGTCTCAATATGTAACGAATTATATATATATATATACAATCGTTCACAATTGCATTTAGTAAAATTGATAAACCGAATTTCACTCCTCAGTATGCGTAAATCTGTACTGCATTGAATGAAAGTAATATGAAATCGGAAAATAAAGCGGACAAAACTTCGTTTAAAAAATTATTGACCAAGTGCTGTAAGAACAGGTTTGATGTAATGCACATCCATGAACAGAATTTGGCTAAGAGCCTTGAAGAAATTAACCAATGCAACGATCAAGTAAAGCAAACATACCGAATTTAAAATCTACAATATTATGCTTCTATTGACACAACATTTTTTTTTTTTTATCGACTGCGCATATATTTTACAATTCGATTCGAAATGGTCCACAGGAAAAAGTCCGTAGGGAATTGCCGGTACTGACCAATAGAATATGAACGAAATTAATCTTAATGGTTTTAAACGATATCGATTAATTTTCAGGTTCATGTGTGAATTACACAAAGTACATATAATTTCGAACGTGACACTGGAAGTGTATTGATCATCTTCTGAAATCTACAAACGAAGAAACATTGGAATGCGCCTGTAATATTTTAAAGCACGCAGGGAAGTCATTAAACACTGTAAGAATAATCTCATTATATCAGTAATATAACTTGAAAAATTCGAGTTCAATTACTTTTATATACAATTAACGCTGTCGTCTAAAAATGCTGTTGGAATCAAACACTGTTATATCATATGTTTGATCATAATTATTATTATAGAAAGTTGCGTTCAGAAAACTAGAAGAGTATACATCTTTGGTGAACAAAACGAAGATTTATGATATTGGACATAAGAACTGAAAGAAAACAATTGGGTACCTCGAAATGCCCGTACAAAACCGACATTATGCCCCAAAAAAGAGGTTACAAGCGTGAGATAATCGGAATATAGACCATCCACGTATGTGCAGTACAAACCTGCGGTATTGCCAACGGTAAAAAATTAAATTTTTCATTTGACTATAGTTTACTTAAATTGCGTATAATACTTATATTATATTTTTATTAAAAAATCGCTCAAAAGTCAAATTATTTTTAAAAAATTTCAATCGAAACTCAAAAGGTAAATGTTTGTTTTCAAATATATAAATCTAATGTATTATGTAACCAAGATACTAGTTTTTCGGTTAGTAAAATAATATAACTTTTTCTTTATTATAGGACGATGAACGCGTGAAAACAATCCGTCTTAATGATTCGTCATCAGCAATGTGTGTTAGTGATGCGATTAATGTTAAAAAATCATCAGTATTGGCATGTGTAAGATCCGATACCAGTTCTACAAATAGATACCAATCACTGGAAAACGAAAATACTGGAGTACAAGTAACTTATATCGATGGACCGTAATCTATTTGTGTAATATAATTCTCTAACTTGTGTGGCTATTATTCGATTAGGAGATCCGAGAAAAATATCGAATCATTCTCGACAATTTTACTTTAGAAAATATAATTTCGTTGGTGGAAAGCATGACTTTACTGTCAATCAACTCGGATGCTTGTCTGATAAATATTGTTGAATATTTTTTGAAAAAGGTATATAATTTCTATTTTTTTTTTTTAACACATATATTTTCATTATATCAATATATACATTATATTGATTTCATAATATTCTATATGTTTGTGTAGCTTGCCTATTATTTTGAGACTAGTAAAAATGATTTTTTATTTTTAAACTTAATTAGGCTTTAGATGACCCGTTATTGGCACCAGAATACGCACATGTTTATTTGGCAATGAAGAACAAGGAAATTCAGTCAGGAGACTACAAAAAACTAAACACTTCGTTTACGAAACTTTTGATAAACATGTGCAAAGACGCGTTCGAGTCTATGTTCGACAGAAAACGTATTGCGGCCAAAGAGCGGAAACAAATTGAATCTTGCAAAGATAAAGTATGAATACCATTAGAGATTCAATAAACAACAATATTTTCTCGTTGATTTATTATATTATGCTGTTAGTTTCATTAAAATTTATATATATCGTTACAGAAAATTAAACACAAACTTCAATTGAAATTTGATAAAAATGAAACAGTTCATAAAAAATATTCAGTGGCAATTTGCAGATAACTTACTACATCTGATAATTTCTCGAATAGTTATAAAAATTGTGGTCGTATTACTTCCAGATTCATCTGCGAACTTCTAAAAGTGAACATTTTGGTACCATCGATATTAGAAATGTGCTTGGCCAGACTAATAGGTAGTTCAAAAGAATTATCTGTCGAATGCGTATGTGTCATACTGCAACACGCCGGGAGTACAGTAAATCATGTAAGATTCGTCAGACCGTAAAATCATGAATTTTAAATCGTATTCAAAATAAAAATATGCTAACTCAATATTATATGTTGACAACGTTTATATTTCTCATACGTTAACAATACAACCATAGAGTGGCGTGTTGGAGAAGCTGCAGGAGTACTGAACTGCGCAAAATGCGAAATTCTCCCCGGGCGTACGGTCAATGATCCTAGGCACACTTGAGTTGATAAAACCCGAATCTACCTGTGATGAACCATGGTTGACGGACGAGACGAAAGTAGTGACTTCATTTGTAGAGGCGTCTGTTGAACACATTAAGTTTTCGTCAACAGATCTGTCAGTGGCCCAAAACAGCGTGTGTCCGGAAGTATTCAACTCTACACATACAATTTTTCAACCGTAGAAACAAAATTACTAAATTATTTGTATGGTGTCCTCAAGAATAATACACAAACCGAAAACGAATCGGACGAGAAGTTAGAAGTTTACAATACTGTTAAAACGATAATTAATTCCATAACTGCAGACAATAAGAGCACCTCAATAAATGAGTTATCGGTACATTTAAAAAATATCGATGTCATGGAAATAGCCATGGACTTTCTGTTCGAAAAAGTATTGTTATTATAATTATTATTTATTTGTTTTTTTTTTTACAAATTGAATTACAATTTTTAAATCAACTGTATATTGGGCATTATAAGATTTTATTTGTTTTAGGTAAAAATGTATCCTAAAAATATTCCACAATTGGTAAGCGTGTGCTTTTCGTTACGGGATGTATCAACAAGTGGTGTGATAGAAGGGCGGCACATTAAACCTACCTCGTTGAAGAAACAGATCGCGATCAGGTGTACAAAGCTATTGCTGTCTGGGGTTCAGAACGGTCTAAGTGAAAACGATTTTACGTCCGAACAGTCGTACACGTAATAACTGTTGCGCACTGCCTAATGATTTATATATTTATCAGCAAGAAAAATTAATAATTATTTGTACATTATAAATTCAGATTTATCGGCGAATTAATCAACGAAAACGTTTTATCAGCCCATATTCTAGAAGAGTTTTTTAAAAATCGTACCGGTTAGGTTATATGATACGTTAATTTTTTTGAACAATATCTTACATCTGGTTATAAGTTAAATTAAAGTAATTTTTTAAGTTTTTTGAATGTCATATGCGAAGTAATTATATTGAGATCGTATTATAAAAACAATTGGAAAATTATACATCATGATAAAAGTCAATCAATCCAAATAAATTGTAGTTGGATCCAGTTGAAGACGAACATACGAATATCTTGTATTAATTAGTACGGTTTACCACGAAAGGGTATAATATTTGAATTCCTAATTCGTAATGAATTTTTTTGAAATGAATGACATTATCGGAATAACTTAAAACGATTAAAAATCTGGAACCAGAAAAGCAGATTACTCTTATAGAAAGTAATTGTAGGTTTCAAAATTTACCATTCCAGTTTGGACGTAATGTTCCGCGTCAGATTGGCCTACCGAAGAAGCTAACCAATATGATCGGCGAACATTTTCTGCAAGTTATGTTCAGAATACATAAAACTAATTTTTGTATAAATAAACATAAATAAAAGTTTAAACGTTATTTACAGAATCTTTTTGTTATTATTTCCCCAAAAAATAAAACCCTAGACATGGTATTATGTGGAAAATAGATCTATTTGCAGCAAACAATTAAAATAACAAGTTAAATATGACCGAAAAAAATTACCTTATCGATTTATTTAACGGTATTTATGTAAAAAGCTATTTTAAGCTAAAAGTGGTTCGTAGAATTTAGAATATGTATTTAGTGTCCAAAAGAAGCCCAAAAGGTTGGTGACCGCTGTACTAAACGATAAAAAAAAAATCAAATAAAACAACTGTAAACGGGCTGTAACAATTAGGTCTACATATCTACATGTCTACTACATGGTAGTGCATTTCAGTGGCGCAACCAAAATTTATTCAAGGGAGGGGTCCAAAAAAAATTATTCAACTATTGTTTTTCTGTCCTTCTCCTGAGTACATACATACATTTCATTTCTTAATTAACACAATTTGCCAGGTTTAAGACCAATAAAAAAAAACACACAATTATATTATTTATATTTACAATTTATGCCAGTTAAATTATGGTATAATCATAAGTCTTATTATTTAAAGTGTAAATTCCAAGCGCCGTCTTTCTTCGGTTAATATATTTATAACTTCTTCCATTGTAAATAGGACTTCTTGGGGAATAATAAGATCAGCCAACCCATTTAATCTATTTTCAGAAGTAGTGTTCCTTAAATAGTTTTTTATTCTCTTGAGTGATGAAAATATTCTTTCCGCTTCATATGATGTAACAGGAAGAACAACAAGAATGTGCAATAGTGTATAAACATTTTTATAAAATTCAGGATTATTTTTAATACTTTTATTTATTTATTTATTACGTACTTGTAGGATCGGTAGCAGCGCAATCAATATTTTTTAAAACACAGAGATTTTTTGATAAATGTATGTTATAGTCGGTATTGTCATTGAATTCCTTAATTATCTGTAAAGCTTTGTCATTTGTTGATTGGTTTATTGTAGTTTCGGTAAGAAAGTCAGCATTTTTTTGTTTGAACGTAACATTTTCTGCAGAATTGAGAAGTTCTGAAGATTGGTTTACTGTAGTTTCGACAATAAAGTTGGCATTTTTTTGTTCAAACGTAAAATTTTCTGCAGAATTGAGAAATTTTGAAAATTGGTTTACTTTAGTTTCGCAAAGAAAATTAGCATTGTTGATAAAAGTTGATATTTTATACTCTAGATTTTTTATCAACACATTGTAGTTCAGACGTGATATTTTCAGTACATTCGGAAAATTGACAAGATTGAGCTATATCAGTTCGTGCAGGTTGAAAAAAGTTTGAAATTTTCGGTAATTTCGATATTTTGTTTTGTATTTCATTGGCTCGCTTACGATTTTCACTATCACTAGGTTTTTTTTTATCCATCATCAAATCTAAAAAAAGATATTTTTTTGCTACTTAAAAAAATTGATATAAATAATGTTAGCTGTAAAGCAATGATATTAAAAATTTTAATATATTTTAATAAAAATTATTTATTGCATTATTTTGATTATTAAATTCTAAATATATTGATAACTAGCTGAATAAAGCTGGTTTCACACGAAGCGGTTTAGTCACGCGTGGTCGCGGTTTTTAGCCGCTACAAAATATCGCCTAAAATTGAGCACCTCTATGTATAAATACGTTTATTCACACGAAAAAAACCGCACCGCTTATTGCCGCGTACGACCGCCTCCGACCGCTCATGTTTAATTTTTTAGTGATCGACCAAGTCCGCTAGTTAAAATCAAACTGGGTATTTCTAATGAGTAAATACACACCTAGCGCCATGGCTCCTGATTGCGTGGGTCAATTAAAAAATTACTCTTGAAGTGTCATCTTCAAAATAAAATAAGTATATTAATTATACATAAAAAAAAAGAGCTGATACAGGAAATGGATGGGATACACGAGACGCATTTATAGGTTCGGCATTTTAGGATAGATTTTGGAGAACTTCAACTGCTTATAAAAAAAATTGTGTCTAAGCATTTAAATAATTTTTGAATCACTCTTAGATCAACTTATGTAAAACCTTATATATTACATTTTCAAGTGTTTTCGCTGAGTCAAAAGATTTTTATCAACTTTTATAAAAAAAAATCTAAGAAAAATCTAATATTTCAAATGCCTATAAATAGCTTAAAAATTAACGAAATATTTTGAAAATACAAATTATGTAAAGAAAATGCCAATTTAAACATTTAGTGAACGTTTCGCGTTTATACAATTTATACTTTTTGAATAAGAACAAATATCAAAAATCGTTGAAGACTAATTTGTTATTTTACGCAATATATGTAAAAATTTTAATTTCAAACACTCTTAAAAATTTTGATATTATTCCGGTAGACATTTTTTTGCAGATAATTAAAGGAAAACTTATGAAAATATTTGTACCAAATTTACAATTATTAGCTTTGAATACTTAAAATTTTATGACTTTTCAACTACAAAATAACTTTAAATTTTCGCGATTTTTTACACATTTCGTAAAAATATGACATAGGTTAAATATATTTAAAATTTTAATTTTTAAATATATATAAGTATATTTAATTTATCCTATGACTGAGTAGTGCAGCCATCATTATCTTCGACTCCGATCAGATAATAATAACAATTTTATAGATTAAATTGACTATATAACTACATAGAATAAACGACAACTATTAACGGTTAGATTAGGTTTTATTTAACAAAGAAAAAATAATTGAATAGTATTGAACATTTTATGGAAATTTTATTGAACAAAAACAAAACACAAAAATTAACCACCTTTGTTCGGGCCATAAAAAATTGCTTCGCGGGCCACATGCGGATCTAATATAATAACGCGGAGTGTACGTTGTTACAATATATACGGTCGTGGAAAACAAAATATTTGTACTCGAGGTACTTAACCGAATGAGAATTGCGAGAACCGAGCAGTACGTATGGGTACACTGTACCGAATCTCGTCGTAACCGATGCGTGAAGATGTACACGGTATTTTCTCGTTCTTCGCGAT